ATTTTCACTGGGATGTCTCAGCAACAGCTGAATTTACAAAATAAACGTTTCAGGTTTTGAATACACACCTGCTCACTGCATTACAGTAGCTCTAAGGCGTAATGCTTTAGGCATATTGATCAGTGGTTGGCCAGTGAGACTGAACGACTAGAATGACTGCATTGTTTTCTTGTGTTGTTCTTCTTCTAAGGTTGTGTATACATGTTTACAAGCTCCAGTGGCGCAATCGGTCAGCGCGCGGTACTTATAAGACAGTAACCTGCAGAGTCATGCCGAGGTTGTGAGTTCGAGCCTCACCTGGAGCAGACAACTTTTACAAGAGAATGTAGAAGTTGGCCTTCATCAAGCAGCTACCTTGATTAAAGAAAAAGTGTAAATGTGGTTAACAAAGCTGTGATGAGACAGCTCACAGGACTCAAATAAACTGGTAAATCATCATCATCACTTAGTTGTATAATTTGACTACTCCGACACACAAAAAACATGTCATGTACCTGCTTCAGGTTTCTAAGACAAGGGGTGTTGGTAGCTTGGTGGATAGTGCAGGCGCCCCATGTATTGAGGCGATGCCTCACTGCAGCAGTTGCAGCCTCAACTCCAGCTTGCAACCCTCTGCTGCATGTCAACCCTCCAATTTCTCTCACTCACCCCATTTCACTCTGTCCTGTCCTCAAGAGAATCAAGACAGTGAAAGAGCTGTAGAGAGCTCCAGTGGCACAATCAGTCAGCATGCAGTATTTATAAGACAGTTACCTGCAGAGTGATGCAGAGGTTGTGAGTTCAAGCCTCACCTGGGGCATTTTAACCAGGAAATACTTGCTGCTCTTCATGAGTTGGTCCATCTCTCCCCTTTGTATTACATAATGGCATACCTTGCATGGAGACCACGACACACTTCTCCTTGTACACTAACTGCCCAAACTATCATGATTGACCACTAATTGCAGACTTAGTCCTCGGGCAGCTGTGGCTCAGGAGGAAGAGCAGGTCCTTCACTACTCAGAAGATCAGTGGTTCAATCCTTAGCTCCTCCAATCTCTATGTCAAAGTATCCTTGAGCAAAATACAGAAGGAGATTCTGAACCTGATTGGATGATAGGTAGCATGGGTGTGAAATTTTGACTGACGTGTTATGCATGCTACCCACTGCAAGAGACATAGAAGTAGCTAATAGCAGTTTGTGGCTAACTCAAAGAAGAGCAGTGGCCAAAAATGCCTGCAAATTGGGAAAACATTGCATTTGGGGAGCTCCTTACCCTCCAAGCAGAGGACAAGATCAGCCACCACATAACAGAGAAGGCTCCAGTGGCGCAATCGGTCAGCGCGCGGTACTTATAAGACAGTAACCTGCAGAGTCATGCCGAGGTTGTGAGTTCGAGCCTCACCTGGAGCAGTGAAATTTTATATGCAACAGGTGAGGTGACCTGACAGCATATACAACACAATGATCAAAAAGGCTTTCTCAAAGTTAAGATGGGTGCTGTATTGCCTCTTTAAAATCTGAAACCAATGTAAACTGACTTAAGGTAAAGTTGTCTGATTTGAAACAGCTCTAAAAGAGACCATTAAGGTTAGATAACATAGAGTACAATGCAATAGAATATGGATTCTGTTAAGGTTAACAATGCTTTCCTCTTACGTCATATCATTTTAGGTACCAGACCAGCCTATTACACTGAAACAAAAAGCATGACTGTGCATTTTTGTTCAACTTCTTAGCAATAGGTCACGAGATCCTTTGGTTATGCTGAGTCAGCCCTCATTTCTACACTGGGTTAACACATCAATGAATAAAAACTTGAAACACTAGATGTTACATAGCTTTAAATTCAATTCTAATAGTGACCATAGCTCAAGAGATCCAGTTGTTATATCCCTGTTTCTGATGTAATCATTTTTAACACTATTAATTGTATTAATGTGTGTTACAGCACCATTACTGATATACAATCTCACAGGACCTTTAAAATAGAAACTGCTGCATGTTTTGGACACACATTGGGGTGAAGGTAGGGTCATGCAAGGTCACTACAATTACTGTCAAGCCCTCTGGAGGTGATTTGAGGTTCTTATGTGATAACCTCACTGGCACTGACTGCCCCCTCCCACCCATCCTGGGTTTTTACTCTCTGGCCTCATTGCACAGATGTCCTTAGATAACCCTCTACTCATGAAAAACATCTGAAATTTATTATAAGATAGCCCAGCTGAGACCCCTAATTGGCTGGTGCACACCTAAATATGAGGCTAGATGGAAAGCGTTGAGCAAACAATGGGAAAAGGAGTATCACTTAATGCAATGATCGGGGACACATCACTATCCACGCAGCTCCTAGGACAAATTTAGTTTGCAAAATCAAGACCATTTTAGATACTTACACATTAGTGATTATATTGGCGTAAAATAAAGAAAAATATGGCCACAGAAAATGAACTACTCCAAATATTTATTTAAGCATATGAGAATTAACCTTATAAAAAGGTCATTTTGCAACTGTACCCGAGCCTTCAACAACTAAACAAGGAAAATACAAGATATATTAACATAAAACAACAAGCTCTACATGGAGGATAAAGGATAATGCAAGGAAATGTAAGAAATCCCTTACCAAGAAATGGTTGAAAAAAGAAATGATGATGATGATGAATGCATGGATCTTGACTTGGTACATAATATTTATGTAATGGAGAGAATGACTTTTATACTGAGAACCAAGAAGGATCTCTTTATTGAGAAATGGGTGAAGTGGTTAGTGTATGTCTCAAACATTAGACCTGATTTTGTCTGAATAAGTACTAGAAACACACTGTGGGGTGGTCAGGAGCCCCCTACTGTCACTATAGGTATGTCTTGATTCAACATCCTTGTAAGCACAACCTATTTATTTGTTATTTACTCTCTATCCTTATTTTATGATATGATTATTATTTGATTCATTTTTATTATGTTATTTAATTTAATTTGATTTAATTTAATTAATTTATTTTATTTTATGTTATTTCATTTTAGCTCATCTCATTTTATCTTATTTTATTTTATTTTATTGTGCGAGGTCTTCATGTTAACTATTTGTGGATTTTTTATACATATATATATGTTCAATGTTCTTATTGCTTTTATAACCCAATAAAGAGAGAATTACAAACATCATCTGCAAAAGGTACATTCATAACCAGAGCTGATCTACTGAGAAACAGTCACAGGCTATCGACTAAAAATAATAATAAAACTATAAAACAGATTATAATCCATTTGAAAATGTCCTCCTGTCTGTTTTGTCCAGAATGAAGATCAAAGAGGACTTTGTTTTCTTGAATTTAGTTAATGTGTAGTTGAATAACATCTTAAGAGCCTGAGCTACAGCAAAATCAGTCCAGTCTTTCAAGAATGTATCTTCAAATCTTCATTTTAATACTGGAATAAATTTTACATAAAAAGTCATTTTTGTGTGTTTTAATGTTTCTAGTTGATCCATTTAGCCCTGCGATAGTCTGGCAACCTGTCCAGGGTGTACCACGCCTCTCGCCCAGCTAGGATAGGTTCCAGCACATCCAAGACCCCTAACAGCATAAGCAGTTATGGAAAATGAATGAATGAATAGTCCAAGTGAGTAAAAACAAGCTTACAGAAACTGCAATTTATTGCTGTTTAACATTGACTGTCCTATCATGGTCCCCTGAACAGAAACTCTCAGTCTTGCTGTGTTTAGCTCCACTAGCTGTTAGCTCTGTTAGCTGTTAGCTCCATTACCCAAACACATCACAGAACTCTGCTGCCCACCAGCTGCTAACAGCTAACTAAGCTAACAGCACGAAGACGGGCTCTGTTGTTGTTACTCAGTTCAGTTTGTTATTTGCTAATGATAGTTGCATATAAAAATCCCATTCATCCCAAGGAAGACCTCTGTTTGTCGCAAACACATTAGTCTCTAGCCCTGGCTAGACGGTGACAAGTAGGGCCTACTGTTTGCTGTTTTAGTAGAATGTTGAACTAAAAGGCACAAGTGACAGATAATCTCACTGAGACATGCTCATTCTCAGGAGAGATGTGATAAAACTTAGTAGCCACAGGGGGCCACTTCACTTACCAGCGATATCTGGTGGCTATAGAACAACCTTTCATGGTCCTGGGCAATTGGGCCATGGTTAATCTTGAACCCTAACCACTTCTTAACACTGAAAACATTGTCACTATTGACCCTGCTTGCTCTCTAGCTCATCTGCATCATGGAGTCTGTTAAAATGCATTAGGCCTTATAGAAAAGCAGCAAAGGTAATAAAAAAGTTAGCCGGTTTCACCAAAGCCTTGGTCCCCTGCTGTAGTGGAGGTTATATGCAGGTATACAGGGTATACCCACTTCTTTCTCATACAGTATACCCAGCTATTAGCCAAAAAGCCACTAAAATATATAGAAGAATAAACCCACTTCCTCCTCAGTAACCTACCCATCCACCTTTAGTACACCCACCTCATCAACTATCCCTACACCACTGCTTGGTCCCATGTTACCTCTGGTGTCCTGAGTGAGCTCTAAATTTACATCTACATACATCTTTAGGCTAAAAGTAAAGTCCTTGGGGTAGTGCAACTCCATGATTCTCAAAATGGTATCTGATGCAGGCAGGTCTCACACCCACTGTCCCTAAACCAGAAGCTTATGGAGCTGCAGATAGCAGCAGCTGAAAGAGTTTATCTGAAAAGGCCTGAACCACACTGCAGTGAAGCCTCTGACTCACTTTAATAAGTTTCTTCCTTGTGATGGCGCAGAATGAGACAGCTTCAACAAACACACCATACAGCTGATAAGGCACTAGACCTGCTAAAATCCAAATAAATAATAATGTGGAAGCACCTGAAGGGCCAACAGCAGACCACCCCACACCAGCTGCATACTGAGCTCAGCCACATTAATGTTATGGTAGACATACCCAGCGTGACGCACGCAGAGCCCCAGATAGCACAGTGGCGTGGAGCCCCCACCCTGCCCTGGCTGCTGCCCGATAAGGCAGCGCAGCAGGGAAACAACACCTTTAACATCACACCTTGTTTGTACACAGACGGAGTTACTGCTTTTACTCATCATCCGTTTCTGCGATTTGGTTAATATGGTGCTAAAATGGTCGATTAAGGCCTTTTACGCACACATCTGTCGCCTGTTGTGAATCTGAGCTCCGCTGTTAAGTCATCACACTCTGAATATTCAGCTACAGTGAATTCTCTATAGCGCACAAGGCTGCCATGCTCAAACAGAGAGAGAAAGAGCTTATAGCAGAAATATGGGATAAACTGACTCCCGTGGCAGAAGATATTGGATCAGAGGCGCTTCATAGGTAGGTTTAACTCTGTTGTTTCCACACTTCCAACATATAAACTTACCTGTGTGTTTGAAAGAAACTGTAATGTATTTAAAAAGTAGATAAACAGCATGATGTGACTAATTTCTCCTCCACAGGAGCCTGCTGTGTGTTTATAAATGTTTTGGCTTCCTAAGAGATCTTCATCTTAGCTCTCTGGCATAATGTCCCCAAAAACAAACATTTAAACTTGGAGCCACATATGAAGATCGAGGCCCTTCATAATGACTTCATAACTTCCTGGTGTCTTATTAGAAAGTGAAAAAATAATAACCTTTTATTATGACTTAATCAGCATTTATTATTAATGGTTTATTACCGCTGATCATGAAAGTATTTAATTTATAAGTGTAGACTAGGACCGGGCAATATATTTATATTATATTGAAATATTGTCGTAGATATTTGAATTTTGTAAGTGCTGCCTTCTTTGGTATTAAAGGCTGCATTCAGGGGCATATAGTAGTAATTCTGGGCCCTGTGCATAAGCAGTCTCTTTTTTTCCCCTGTTTTTCCTTTCTTGATCCATGTCTCTCTCAGGCAACTTTGGGATTTTTAAAAATTTATTTTTTTACTCATTTTTACCAAGTCAGTTTTCTTACTTCCTTTTTTTTCTTTTTTTTTTGGAACCTTGTTTTTCATTTCTTTGAGAAAAACACAACATTGTAGGCTTTAGCTACATTTAGAGGAGGCAAGTCCTAGTGCAAGGGTGGACTAAACCATTGTGTGCCTTTAAGAGGGGGGTTCAGTCTTTCAATCCATTATTTTTAATTAAACTAAACAAAATTCTTTCCAGGCCTTTTGAGGGCACCCGTCCCATTGGGGCCCTGGGTAATCAGTCCCCCGGCCCATTACGACACTCACAGTAAAATTATGTCATTTTCTGGACTTACCAGAGTGTTCAAGTTGTTCTATAATTTCCCTTTACCCACTTATAATATAAAGATATTATATCATTATCGAGATATGAGACTACATATCGTCTTAGATTTTGGATATCGTATCGTATATCGTTGTATCGTGATGAGACATAAATGCTGTATTAACCTCCCAGACTTTTCTGTTTGTTTTAACGCTTGTCTTTACCCACTGAGTCACTATATGTCCAAATTATTGATGATTATTGATCAAAAATCTCATTGTATTAATAATTTCTGAAAAAACAAACAGTCAACAAATAGTCATCCTTACAACTTAGTCATATCAGAGAGGGTATTTGGTGAGAAATATTGTCATGTTCATTTTTGTTTCCCAGTCCTATCATTGATGAAGTGCTTTGAGAAGATTTAAAAGTATCGATATATATCGTGTATCGAGATATAGCCCAAAAAATATCGTGATATAATTTTCAGGACATATCGCCCAGCCTTAATATTTACATAACTGATTAGTATTTTTGCAAAAATCTCATTGAGTGAATATTTTGCAATCACCATTGCAGCATCAAATTCAAATTCAAATAGCTTTACTGGCATAACCATAACAAAATACAGTAACGAACAGAGTATTGTACATACATTGAATGTTGGCTATTACAGTATACAAATATCTATGTATACATTCTGAACAGTGTATGAAACCCCTACAGCAGAATTAACATCTTTTTGATTATGTATTTTTTAACTAATAAATCAAGGTACTTTTTAAAATATCCATATGGGTTTTTTTTGCAGACAAATATTGTGATATTTGATTTTCTACATATCACTCAGCTTGCTGTAAAGCATTAGTAAATGATTTATCAATAATTGGTTTGGCAATTAATATATGAATCCAAGATCAGTGTAGTGAAATACTCAAATGCAAGGCCTCACACTAGTGACAACAACAACAACGACGATGATGATGCTGATGATGATGATGATGGCAGTAACCAGAACCAGCATGATGGATAATGGTTTTTGTGCATCTTTGCAACACCACTGACAGAAATCCTGAAATTATTTTTCCTAATCCTTCCACAGGATGTTTACCACCTACCCAGGTACCAAGACGTACTTTTCCCATCTGGACATCAGCCAGCGCTCCCCTCACATGCTCTCTCATGGGAAGAAGATTGTTGTGGCCATAGCAGAGGGAGCCAAAGACATCAGCCAACTGACCGTCACCCTGGCTCCTCTGCAAACCCTGCACGCCTACACGCTCCGGATCGTGCCGACCAACTTCAAGGTGCCTTTACTACAATCCATTAGGCCTGCATTACTGCAAATAAAGCAGTCTTTAACTTTTGATTTGTAGTTGGTTGATTTTCTAAATATCTTTTGAATAGTTTTTGTATTGAACTGCGACTACAGTAAAGATTTTTTAAATTACAGATTAATCTGCTAATTATTTTCTCCATTTGCTTTCTTTGTTCCAACAAACAAACCAAACATCATGATTTTTTTTTGTGTGCATGAAAAATAACACATTCACATGTTTTGCATGCAAAAATCTAAATTTGTAATTTAACTAGTAACTAATGCTGTCAAATAAATGTGATGGTGTAGAGAGTGCAATATTAATAATTCCACCCTGCTTACCAAAATATTCTCTCAATAAAGTTTAATTAAATAAAGTCTACTTGAAAAATCTACCAAAAAATGAAATAAAATGAAATAGAACAAAGTAAAATAAAATAAAATAAAATATAATAAAATAAAATGAAAAATAAAATATTCTCATGGTTTTAAGCACACTATGACGCTGTGTTTTCAGTGGTCTGAAAGTTACGTCATCTCAGTCCATATCAGATCAAACTCCAAAGACGTCAGCAGGAGTTCCTGTTTACTGCTTCAAAACCAACATGGCTGCCACATTTCTCCCCAACAGCTCATGTAGCTTACTGTTAGTGTTTCTGCAACATAAATATATTTTCCATACATGGAGATGCAGCATTCTTCAGAGCAGACCTGTTGTTACTTCCCATAAAACATGTTTAATTTAAAAGACATTTCAATATAATACATATGATTACTGCTTTGTAACACAATTTACAAAACACACAAATACCTACCTATATGTATATGGAGTCTATTTATATCTTAAACACAATTTTTAAATATGGGGCATATAGTTTTCAATGTATTTCAGTAAATGTAAGAGATGCAGAGGTGATTTCTAGTCCCCTGAAAACACATTGCAATAATGTAGCAGATAGTCACTTGCATTTTGCTGCAGGACACTCCTTATGTTTTCAATGTAGCTGCTGTTGGAGCATTTTGGAAAGTCTCTCTGATGTGGAATTTAGATGGGGGTGTAGGCAGCTCCTAAACATTTTCTGTCAATTTACTCCTTGGTTTAAACATGTGTAGAGCTCCAGTTGGACAGTAAGAGTGAGAGAAAACTGTTCTGAGTATTTAATATAATATTTTTATCTGTTTGCTCCTCCTGCATTTTGCATATAGATTCAGTCCTTTGTCAATAACAACCCTTTCCCTTCTCTGCAGCTCTTCTCACACTGTATGCTCGTCACCCTGGCCTGTCACATGGGCGATGACTTCACACCGGTTATACACGCTGCAATGGACAAGTTCCTGTCAGCTTTTGCAGCTGTCCTCTCCGAGAAATTCAGATGAGACCCAGCCACCTTTTTAGAAAGTATATAAACCATTTATGACGATGTATGGTATGAAATATTTATGTAGTTATTGTTACGATATGTTTTGTAAGAATAAAAATGTACAATAAACACCTTTCCTGTTGTTGTGTTGTTTTACCATATAAAGTCTCAAAGGCTCGAATTTGCATCTCCATGGTAACCAGAGACCCCCTGTGCATTTTTACAGTCCAAGTCTATTTCTGTCACATTTAGTGAGGCTTAATCTGCACAGACACCTGTTTACAATCAAGTTTTCCACTGTATATGTTTTAAATTTATTTACCTCCCAGTGTGTCTGTGAGCGGCAGATTCCCCTCACTGGCTTCAGTGGGCTGGGAAATAAAATCAATAAATACAATAAATACATGTTGATTTCTTCCAGTGATGCTGACATGCAAACTATTTTGGTTCAGTAAATGTCCGCTCTCATTCAGCCTGGTGAAGGCAGTTTGACCGGCTGCTGTCTCGTAGATCCTGCTGACAGATGACTGCTACTGTGGACAGAGACGCTGAATGCAGGTCAGAGTCAGTGTGGACTGAAAATTACTATCTCTGTGGCAACAACAGTAACACTACCAATCATATTGGGCAACAAAATATGATGTTGTCCGCAACATAATATCCTCAAGGTGTGTGTCAGGAAAGGAAAGTATCAAGCAACACTTTTTTCTGTCAAAAATACGTCATTTCTGTCAAGTGAAACTTCTGAAAAGTGTCAAGTGGCCTACCATAAATAAGGCTTAAGGCAGAAAAGGGTGGGTCATGCCTTCACCATCCTAGGAACAAACTTGACACCAAAAAGCTAGGTTTATAAGTGCCTTGAAAGCCTGATTTATGGTTTGTCACATGAAACTTTTAAAAACAGAAATTATGTATTTTCAACAGATGGACAGATTTCAATGCATACATGGAGAAATTTGTTTCATCATGAACGTCATATTTTGTCATGCAATGTCATTGGTAGTGTTACTATTGTCACCTACCAAGTCCACAGAAGCAGCAGCTCCAGTGGAGCTGAGAGGACAGACGCTGGCCCAGTATTCATCTATTCATCAAACTGCCTTCAGCAGGCTGACTGACAGCAGACATTTACTGAATCAAAATAGTTTTCATGTCAGCACCACGGAAAGAAATCAACAGCGTTTGTATTTATTGATATATTGATTATATAGAGAGCTATAGAGTGAGTGAGGGGAATTTGCAGCACACAAAAAGACTGGGAGCTGATTAATCAATAATTATTGTGTTTAGCGCGATGAAGTTCTGTAGTCTCATTTACCACTTGTTAGCAACCGCCTTTTTTGTAAGACACAATAAAAAGCCTCAAAACTCACGAGGGTGGTATACTGAGGTATTTTATGTCGTAGAACAAAACACTTAAGTCTCAAGAACTTGTGTTAACGACAGACCTTATTCAAGGCATCTAACCAAAAACCCATTGACCCTGAGACCAGGGAACCGAAAGTGGTAAAATGCTAACTCATTTTGTGGTTTTAAGCAAATAAAAATTATTTTATATTTATAATCGTTAATTAATGAATTGACTCATTCCTGGGGCACTCTATATTGTCGCATGAGTGCTGTTGCCTTAAATGTTCAACCTAATTTATGCTTATGTTGCACACACATGGAGAATTTTGTTATGTCCCGAACATCATCATTTTCTGTCGCGCAATGTGACTAGCTAGGTAATCGCCATGGGAACACAATCCACGCCAACCTTGACCTAACCTGCCAGCCCCACTCCACAGGCACACGCTCGCCTTCGCATTTCATTAGCTTCGATGTCTCGTTCGGAATCCAACATGGAGTTAGTAAATAGCAGCTCTGTGGAGTCATTTTGTTCCAAGACCTTGACGAGAAAGGTAAGTGTTTAGTTTGCTCTGTCTCCACAATGAGTTAAATAAGATTGTATTTGTGTTTTAGCTAAATTTAGCAACGCTGCTTGTTAAAAGCTAGCAGCCGTGTGTTAGCTAACGTTAAACAGTCTGCCAGAGAAGGTGGGAGTGAACAACTGTTGTAATTATGCCTCCAACCAGGACATTTCCTCTGAAATAAAAAAGTTTTTTCTATTTCAGATAACTTCTGTATTCACGTATAGTTAAATACGCACACATTTCTAGCCGTTAGCAAGGCGGCTCAGCTGATATTTTATTCACAACACTTGTTTCCATGTTTGAAATAACCAAAGACCTAGTACGTTTTGTGAGACGAGCTTTTTTCACTGAATTCACATGCACACAAAAACTGTTTTCTGATCAGCATGGAATTTTATTCAAAGTCTTCATCAAAGTATTCAGGAGCAGTTTTCCCAAACTAAAGCCCTGTCTACACGTATACAGATATGTTTGTAAACAGATATTTCCTCTACGGTTTGGCCTCTCGTCCACACGAAAATGGAGATTTTCTAAAACTGCAAATGAAGTATATGAGTTGAGAATAAATCAGTGTGTTTGCATATACAGGTACAGTCACTTGAGGGCTGACAATCAGACCAGCTGATTTAGAAGCTTGAGGCTTTCTGTAGTTACAGGATACTAAAAAACGTTGTTGGTGTTGGCAGTTGTCGAAGGACATGTGAGGTGAAGATAATAAAATGTTGCCTTGGAGTCATGTTGGCAGATGACCAAGCAGGCGAGCTGGTCTGGATGAAAGGAATGCCACATGAGGAGGATGGATGTTCAGGTTACAATCCTCCTGTAGGTGTAATTCCTCATGTGTCCAGCAGAAGGCGATCTCGTCACAGCCACGCTATGCAAAGATTTCAGTCCCATAAACTCCCACCTGTGTCTGCTGCTCGTCCCTCAGCCCTGAAAGAACAAAAAGGAGGCCTTATTGACACCCTGTAACATAACACACATACACACATGAGGACTCTGCTGGTCATGGATATTGTGGCGATGCAGGTGTGTATAAAGGTGGGCGGTCATCATTTCTTATTGGCTATCCTCCGCTTCCTGATGGCCAGCATGTCGTAGAAAGGATCCCTGCTGATGCTTGCTCTGTGGAAAGAGTCCTGTCCACTGTCAGCATTGTGAACAAGATGTATTTCTTATCACCGGTAAAATCTGTTGCTATATAGAGAAGCAAAACACTGTCACCCATGGTCAATTTGTGATGTTTAGAACACCCCAGGACTATTTTGGGACGAGGTCCACTAATTTCTCTGTGTACTAAAACTCAAAACACATCACATCTTTTGTCTGCACTGCATTTGTTCCTCAATCAAACCTCACTTTCTGTGCTATAAATTTCTCAACATCTCACCATTGATGCTATCCACAGAAAACACACGAACAACAAAATACACCCAGTAATGCAACAAAATGTCAGCTAGTCAATTTAAAGGTGCTGTATACAACATTCAGAGCATTAATAGAGCAGCAAACAACTCTTGCTATGTAAAGATATAGTGGAGTAACATTGGCATTGGAGTGGCATTGTTGCAGAAGCCTAATGACCATCCTCCGGTTCCCCACCAGGTAAACACTGTTAGCTCTGTCAGCACTGTTGCCGTTGTTGTTAGCTGCTAGCCACCTCCATGTTGAGAGACGTGCAGACTCTGAAACACAAATATGCTCTGAATGTGACATACAGCTCCTTTAAAGTGGTCTTGTATGAGAAAGACATCAATCAAAATGTACACAGGAAAGTGTGACAGTATTTTTTAACCCCCCTCATGCTTGAAGAGATAAGAATAAAGACCAGTCACTGTTTTAAGTTAGGCCACATATCTTTTCTCCCCACCCCTCAGCTTCAATAAACTTTTCCCATCTATCTAAGTAACCTTGGTTATATGTAAAATATCCTTCCAAAATGAAGTGGTGTTTAAGAAAGCCTTTAAATCTGTAGATCTATATTCTACTCCAGTTTCCTAATAAATGAACCTTTCCCCTAATAATATAATCAAATTAACAGTATAGGTCTTTATTTCTGTAACATCCCCCAATGTCACGGAGAAGAGATCCAACTCCAGGTGCAGATACAATATGACAATACCAAAACAGATGGACTGTTGACTCAGATTCTGAACCACAAAACCAGCATTCATCTGATTCTCTAATACCTTATATATTTAGCATTTTTATAGTAGCCAGAAAGTTAATGTTTCTTATTGAAAATACCTTGTGAATGAGTCAAAAGTTGTTTTATATATCAAACTAAAAACCAGTTTGCATGGTATATCGCATATAAGTATCCTCCCATTTTTGATAAGTACTCTATGGGATATTTCCCAAGGACCGGTATGTTAAATAAAGATATAAAAATCTTCAAGTGCCAAGCAGAAATGAAAAATCCTGTTCAAAAAATTGCCTTCCCTTCGATCACAATATTGGAATTAAACCATATAACCTGCTGCATAATTTCATCTCTGCCTCTGGAGGATTAAACTGAAAGCATAACCAACTCCGTATGACCCCCACCTTCAAAAACACAGATGAATTTCCAAGTATCTTTTCAACCAAGCCCTTATGACAAGGCTGAATTTGCAAAAAAGGGTAAAACCTTAATTGAAACAGTGGGTGAGCACCTTCCAATAACTCCAGTCCTTATGCAAGTACATTTTTTGAACAAAGGCAGTCTTTAAAGTAAGGCATGATACTTCAAGATTTAATAGTTTTAACCCAGCTATTTCCAACACTTCTTTTAATTCTTTCCAGATTATGACTCCAGAGGAAGTGCAACAGTACTTTATATGTGTGATAGGTTACTGTCATTACAAACATGTCAGCAAACAGCTGCCTATTTACACACCCAGCAGACATGAAGCAACAGTCATGTTTCTGACCATTTTATAATTCTAAGTTCAATATTCACTCTCTTTTATCTCTGTTTTGGTCTCTGCTGACTCCTGAGGGGAATATCTGTCGTGTGTGTGTAAGCACTTGAGTGTGCCTCGTTCATGTAAGAGTGTAAGAGTGCATCATTTATCCTCATTTAGCTGTTCAATAAAACATCTTTCTCCAACATTTCCAAGAAGCAATATATGATTACTAATCATTTGAATTGTTTCTTTTTGCAAATTGAAAATGTGACCTATAAGCAGAGTTTGATTTTATGATCTATGGATACATTGCTACTTGTTTTGTTTTTTACTGTGTAAGGTGTCCTTGAGTGTCCTGAAAGGCGTCTATAAATGAAATGCATTATTATTATTACTATTATTATAAAAAGTTGAGCAGGTGTACCTAATAAAGTGGCTGGTGAGTGTCAACTATTAAAACTTGTAAAATTAAAATAATTGCTTAATTTCTTATTTTCTTTGGTATTTTCTGTTTTATACACATAGGCAATGATGATTGCTGGTCAGTGTTATCCAATGTCAAGTCTCTGATCATGTGACGAGACGATAGCGTGCACTGCCGCCCATCATAGCTACCTCATGCCACCACTGTCCAGCCAAGTCTCAGTGATCGATTTAAGACACAAGCAGATAGCAGGTGTTGGCTTATAGCTCATCTGTTTTTTGCTCTCAGGCAGGCCCCCCATCAGGGGGGGTTAAGGAGTAAACATGACCCCGGCCTAAGGTCAAGGGGGGCTCCATGAAAAGGTCTATGGTTGACACTTAAATGAAATCAAATACAATGATTTACTGAGTTAAATCCCTGACAATACAAGTAATATGTATTAACATGGTAAATAAATGTAATTTCATTATTAAAAACATTCCAATGTGCCATCTGAAGAGGCAGCAGGTATGACAGGCAGAGCTGAAGGTGAGAAGTTAGGGTCATGTTAGCGGGCTCAAATTTAAAGCTACAGTGAAGACACTGGTATCACATTAAACTTTAGGACCTAAGGCATCCATCAGTACCAACCATGATATGCTATCTTGTTGGAGAGGAGGGCAAATAACGCTTCAAAGTTATGCCAAATTTTGACAAGGGAAAAAGGTACATTGCCTTTTTTCAAAAAGGTAGCCGATAGTTAAATATTTCTGCACACTGTGGTCCCTAAACAGTCGGTTATATTTGCTAAAAATGACTCTGCCTCACTTCTGACTTTCAGCTCTGCCTGTCATACCTGCTGCTTCTCAGTCTTTATTTATTTATTTATTAATTTTTGTCCATTGTCTCTCTGCTCTATTTGTGCTCTTGCTCTCTCTGTACTCTGCCTTTTATTGTAGGAGCCCCTGATTTTTTGGTGAGGCACTTTGGTGGGTGGGAGTATCAGATGGCACAAAAAAATAACATTTATTTATCATGTAAATACATATAACTTGTGTTGTCAGTGATTTAAGTCAGTAAATTGTTGTACTTGATCTCACGCAAGGATCAACCATAGACCCTTATCGTGGGCCCCACCCTTGGCCTTAGGCTGGGGTCATGTGCACTCTTTGGCCCTGACCTGATGGCGGGCCTGAGCGTGTCTCACAGGCATGCCACCAGCAGCACAGCTGTGATTACCCCTGGGGTGAAATAAGTGTTATTATGTTGTGTTTATTATAATAATCTGAAATGCTGTTAATTTCCTTACAACTAACATCACAGGGGTGTTTGTAGGTGTCCAAACTGTGAATATCATGAACTGATGTTTAAAAAGAGGTTGTTACATTTTCATTATGACATACACTTGATCGTCTTATTAAGGGCAGCTATCTGTGTTTTATCTCATATACTGTATCATAAAGTAAACCGCTGAAACCCTTTAGCTGGATAATGGCCTCTGCTGTGTGGTGATCAGCAGGAACTGTGAAAGTAATACATTTCCATCAGCAAGCTGTTTTTAAAATGACAATTATTAAAGTTTAACACAGTTTCTGAAAACGAATGACGTGACAGAATTCCAGCCTAGTGCCTCTGGGCTGAAATTAAGTCACGTCATTTGTGTCCTCATGTGGCTTTTGAGGCACATGTGGTGGGGGTCTGTTGTCTTATCTGCTTTGTATTGCAGTCTGAGATAGTGCCAAAGTGCGTGATGAGTTTCAGTGTCTCAGAAAAACAGCACCTCAAGACTGAAATCCACTTTGTCATCACATGACACTGAAAAAAAACTTAACAACAATCAAGTGGATTCCTTTAGTCTTTAATCCTCATGTAAAATTTAATTACATGAGGTGGAGCACCAGGTGTATAGTTGCCCTTAAAAGGCAACAAAAAACAAACATTTTACTTTTTTTTTCCACTTCTCTTATCCATATATGTTGGTGTGCAGTCTGACTTCCACATAAGCAGAATAAGTTTCCTTGCCACGACCATACCAAATGAGTCGGCCTGAGTTTCATACTTGTCTGCCAAAGGTAACACATTCGTGGTACCTAAGACAGCAAGTGGTGGGTTAGGTCCTCAGTTCTTCCCAAAGGCATTAGAGTACATTCAAACACACTCTTCCAATAACTCAACAATATCCGACATGTCCAAAGAGGATGTGTTAATGTCCCGTCAACCTCTTTACACTCACTACAGAGGAGGGAAACATCTTATGCAATCTGTCTTTGGAGCAGTATAGCCGATACACTGTTTTAAAATGTATCAGGTTGTGTCTAGAGTTGATTGAACATTTATGCACACTTTCAAGGCTCTCCTCCCAAATCTCAAATCGCTCTCCGAATTCTGCTGAAGTGCATTTGTTCTGACATCAGCATGCCTTCATATAATGTGGTAAAAGTAGGAAACTGCTCCCTTACTATGAGGATTAAAGTTGTAATACTCTCAAAAGAGTCATGGGAACATATTTGCTCACAATTAGACACATTTTTCTCTGGGATATTATATGCTTTCTGCAACTGCTCAAATGACATTTCTCTGAGAGCAGGTAATGTTTTGCTTTCAGAGCAGCTGAGCAAATGCATGGAAGTGACTGTACTTATTTGATGATCTACAGACCCTTTTACCGTTAGTAAAGTATGATGTTTTTTGGTAGGCAGGGCTTAGCTGGAGGCAAAACAATACTGCAGACATTAGTTAGCGCTGGCTAGAAAGTTCTGTTACGTGTGGTGTGTTCAGAAATACTCAACGAGTGCAGGAGCACACTCTGGCACAAACTGGACCGTTTGTAAAGAGAGCTGTCAGAATGTATTGTTCGGTTATCCACAGCACCGCACTCAGAGTGGCAGAGTGCACTCTGGACACTGGCTACGGTTACATGATGGCTTCTCATTCGGAATGAAATAAATCTGAATGAAATCATTCGGACTTAAAGTTTTTCCAGGTAGTTTACATGGGAAATATTCATTCCGAATGAGGGTTTACACGGGAGATCAGTTCAATTGCCTTTATTCAGGTCTGTGCAAGGTTTGGGCCAGGGAAGGTTTCTGATTGGATAGGGGGCGGGGCGGATGTTACATGTTTACGTTTAACGGAAGAAAACACTGTAGTCCTCGCTCCGGATAACAAGATGCTTGACGACACCGTTCTTAGTGCCTTTTTCAGGCGTGTTTTGCTTATATTCTTGAAGCAGCAGTACGACAACAACCTTGTTCTGCTAATGCTTCATCTGTTGAGGAGGAGGAGAAGGGAGGTAGAAGGTCGAAGAAGGGAGATAGAAGACCGTGCTGTGGCGAATGGAAACCGGTGAGTGCAACAAGTCCGACTGCTCTATCTCAGCCCGTTGCTATGCAGCCCGTTGCTATGCGCGCTATGTACGTCATCGCGCCAGAAGGGCAAGGAAACGAGCATGCGCAGAAAGACCGGAATGAACTTAAAGAGGAATGAGTGTATACATGCACACAAAATTCTTTCATTCAGAATGACAAATGGAATAAACCACCCCCTTTAATCGGATTTAATTTTCAATCGGAATGACCGTTTACATGACCACTTTTAATCGGAATGGCCTTTCATTCCGATTAAAAGTGGAATTAAACTGTGCATGTAAACGTACTGAGTGTCTGGGGAAACACAGCAGCAGAGCGCAGAGCAGAGTGAATGTGCGATTAACTTAACTATTCGTTAATTCATATAGAAATTTATTACACAGCTCTATTAAATGCTGTATTCTGATTGGTCAGTAGCGGCATTCTGCGGTCTGATATTACTGTGTAATGACTGCTACTAGTAGCAATGGTCATTACACACAGTTGCTATGTAGCCCAGCGTTGCTAGGGATGCTGCCCTGCAACACTGCAGCTGTCAAACAACTTCCGAGGGAAAAAACAAACAGAAGTGGCTGATTTTAACGGATGCCGCTGAAGAAAAAGAATACCTACGGACTTTCTCTGCCAAAAACAAAAGAAGACGGATTTGAATACACACTCGGCAGTCATGCTTAATGACATTTTATGCGAGTTTTATGCCTCGGTTCAGTCCACTAAGCCTGGGTGAGTACAAAACTTTCACCAAAAGTTGTCGAATCTGGTCGGTTTTAATGCACTTCGCAGAGGCAGACAACATTATTTATTTAACTGATAATTAGCCGTGTAATAAGCGGGATAATGAAAATAACTCCCTTCAGGGGAATGTTCTATTCCCGTCGGGAGTTATTTTCCCAGTATTCACCGGCTCATTATACATTATCCCTTACATAACACTCCATTTCTTCCACCAACAGGGCCAACACATTCTCACTGACCTCATCACAAATCAACGTTTGATCATGGACCTTTCACATCCAGATACGACGTGCAAAGTACCCTGGGTGCATTGGCTGTTGACGTTCTGGGAGGCTGTGTCAAGTTCTGCCTTTTACATGCACTGTCTTCTTTCAAAATACACTGATATTTTCACAGGAAATTCACTGTTCAGTACAACATGAAGCAACAAAAGCACATGGTTAGGTTTAGAAAAAGTGAACAGGCTTTGGCTTTATAATCTTATAGGACAGGAACTCCACTCTCCCAGGTGAAAGTCTGTGTTTGTTGGACCCATCCACCACCACTCCCACCCACCCTCTTCAGACATTCCCTGCCCTAACTTTCACTTGTCCCACTGCGTTTCCCCTTGACGCCGTTGAGCGCCATTAAACTTTAACGGGTATGTGTTGGACCCAGATGCAGCACACAGGCCCAGAGCATTTGGTGATGACCTTTATTTATACACAGAGTAAACAACTTTAGCTGACGAAGATATTCAGGTAACAGTTTGCTCTTTGGACTCAGAGCCCACACACAGTCTCTGGGTTCAGGGGCCAGGGTACGGACCAGGCCGAACCGAGTGTGAGGAAGTAAGTCCTCAGACTGAAACAGTTCAGTCCGCTGGCAGGCAGAGGTAACAAAGAGGGGGTTACTGATGGCGTGGTCAAGAAGGCGAGGGGGCTGGAACCACAAGAGCAGTCCAGCGTAGCAGCAGAGCTGATGAGGGATGAGCAGCAGGGAAGTAGAGGCCAGGGGTCCGTTTCACAACTGTTAACCCTGAAATGAGGGAAACTCTGGGTTTTCATTTTTCAAAATGTCAAAGACTGCATCACGCTGCAAAAACCTCAAACTCGTACCAAGAACATTTATCTTTTTTCTAGTCATAATGCCTCATTTCTAGTCAAAACAAATCTCATTACTATACACTTAAAATAAGACACATCCCCTAAAAAGTAACTTGTTCTTAGACAATTTTCACTTGAAATAAGTAGAAAAATCTGTCAGTGGAGCAAGTGTTATTTCTACTTATTGCAATTGAAAAGGTGCTTGAAACAAGTGAAAATTGTCTAAGAACAAGTTACTTTTTAGGGGATGTGTATTATTTTAAGTGTAAAGAGATTTGTTTTGACTAGAAGTTAGACATTTTGACTGACATGTCATTCTCTGCACTGTCAAGATCATATGTGATGCAGCCCACATCATAACCAATGTGGAGGCCAAGTGGCCTGGGTCTGTGCATGACTCACGGATATATCGTGAGTCTAATCTGAGCAACATAATGGAACATGGTAAGCAGCCTAAAGTCTTGCACAATTAATTCACTTGTCTCCCTCCTTTAATGCACTCAAATGTATCCACTATACATTACAGGAGAGTTTGATAGCTTTCTGCTGGGTGACAGGGGTTACCCATGCTAGCCTACATTACTGACCCCTTACCCTGACCCTGAACCAGGCCCCCAACAGAACTTCAACCTGGCCCATTGCATGACGAGAGCCAGGGTGGAGATGACCATAGCCCTGCTGAAAGCCCGTTTCCAGTGCCTACGTCACCTCAGGGTAACCCCTGAAAGGGCCTGTGACATTATTGTGGCATGTGCTCTCCATAATATTGCCACAATTAGAGAGCAACACCCTGCCCTACAAATGGAAGACACTGATGACAACCCCATCCACCCTGCAGACATCCAGGATGAAGAGCAGTCAGACATATGCCAGAATCACTTCACTGTTTAATATCACAATCACCACCACCCAGAGCAGTCAAATAAAGACAATTCATTTTATTTGGTCTTCTTTATTTCCTACAAAAGCAACAGTTAGTTTTTGTTTTACATTGCTCCAATCATTAACACAATTCACGCACCTCTAACTTGTGTTTCAATATCTCAATTTCAAGATCCATTTTTGTGATCTGCCGGTCCAGGAGCACCATTTCCTTTTCAGTTTTCTGCACTGTTTTAATTAGATGCACTCTATAGATCTCCTTCAGTGGTAACTGGGAATACATAAGGATGACATTAAATCATACAGTTGCACATGAATTCCACAGAATTAACCTTTGGCATTTACTGAACATCTTACTGTGTTAATCTGTGCTATGGAGGTTAATGGCCCCTCCTCCTGCTGCCCAGCCACGCTCAATTAAAAAGGATAAGAATCTGTTAATACTTAAGTGTAAGCTAAATGTCACTCTATAATCCACACAAGAATGTTAAGAAATGTGAATGGGGAGGAAACTCAGTAAAAACATCAAGATGTTACCTCTGTAGGCCCCTCAGGCTCCCACTCTGTGGCAGCAGACAATGTGACTTCATCATCCTGTGAAGATGAGTGTTGTGTTTCAGTATACTTTAAACTACTATATGGCATAATCTATGGAGTATTGGCTACTTACAGTTGCAGTGGCATAACGATCCATAAGAGAACACCATCAGAATCTGTTGGGACAAAAAGAAAAACCCATTAAAGGGAAATTAATATTTCCATGAACTATATGGACCCAAAAGATGATATAGGCCTATTACATCTTATGAAGGCATGTGGCTCCTGGGGGGTGACTGGCTCAGAAGATGAGTTCCCTCCAGGAATTCCCTCTGCCACTGGCCTCCCAGTGTTTTGGCTCAGGGCCAGTGGTCCTCCACCCGTTTTATGGGCCTCAGCCTTCTTTCTGTTGGCTGAGTAGAAGTCAGATGTTACTTTAAATAGGCCTAACTTAACAGGATACAGGTGAGAGGACATTTGTGTGTGAAAACAGCATTATGTTGGGCATAATGCACACTGAAACAGCCACTGAATGATATTTACTGGTAAACATGATTCAAATCAGGTAACCCCATGAGACCACTATGCTGAAGTCTCACCTGTTTGAACGATGTTTTTATATTTCATTTTGAGCTGCCATGGTGAATCGTAGTATCAGGGCTCCATTGATGATGGCTTTTTAAAGTCGTGGTGCACACACTTAACTCAAAGTGAACATACTGTGTTGATTGAACTGATTGAAATCAGCCGTTCTGAAACCGGTGACCCAGAGTTTCCCATCTCAGAGTAACTCAACTCAGTTCAGGTTTAGGCTCAGAATTTGTTGAACCTCCTTTCTGAAATGGACCCCAGGTGATGGATCGAGGAGCCGACATGTAGTTGAAAGGATAATACACACACACAAGGCAGCATGTGGCATCTAACAGATCTGAGTCTGAGTCTCTGAGCTGCAGGGGGCAACTGGCAAGCAGGTGGGAACACTCACGCTGAAATGTCGTCGCAGGAAAACACCACACAGACACAGGCAGACTGGAACCAGAGACGCTGAGGCAGAACTCGTGGTCAGGGACAGAAGGCTGGTGAGTTTGGTAATGGGAGATCAGGCAGGTAAGGAGTGTCGGAAAGTCTTGCATGTGGGCGAAGAACAATTTGGCAAAGAATGTGTGTGTGTGCTGGAGAGCCTTAAATACCAGGCTGACTGGCTGATGAGCTGCAGCTGTGGAGGCAGGTGAGTGGAATGGGGCGATCAGGTGGGAGTGGCTGGCAGGTAGAGTGGAAAAACACTAGGGGAGCAGAATGCAAAAATAACAGTGACTGTCAGGATTGCGGAAGGTGGGATGGCCGGCTTTGTGGTTGATTACTATGCCAATCTTACAAAGGAGGATGACACTTAAACAGTTTCCTCCGTTTTTTTTTTTTTTTTGTTAACACAGCTAACATTGCTAAAATGTTAGCGTTAAGAAGAAATCCAATATTCCTTTTTATACCTCCCCATTTTCTGATTAGGTGGACTTGATAACCCTTGATATACATAATGTTATTCATCCCTACAACAGTAGATACTTTCCCCCTAACCTGATATGAAGTAATTTTGTTGTCACCTGTAAATATTTGATAAAATGTCAAAGTATGTCTTAATATTTACTAAAAAACAACAGAGGACCTGTAGCCTATGTGAATTGGTGTTTGAACAATACACACTCACTGGTCATGTTATTAGTTCCACCGTGCTAGTACCCCTTTGGATCACCTTTCGCCCTACGGATTCAACAAGGCACTAGAAACATTCCTCAGAGATTTTGGTCCATAACATTTCTGCAGATTTGTCAGATGCACATCTATAATGCAATTCTCTCATTCCACCACATTCCAGAGGTGCTCTATTGAGATCTGGCGACTGCTCGGGTCATTTGAGGACAGTAAACTCATCGTCATGTTCAAGAAACCAGTCTGAGATGAATTAAGCTTTGTGACATAGCGAATTAACATGCTGGCAGCAGCCATAAGAAGTTGGGTACTCAATCGGTAGGGTGCAAAGTGCGCCAAGACAATACCTCCCACACCATTAAACTACCAGCAGCAGCAGCCTGAACAAGGCAGGATGCATCCAAGCTTTCAAAGTCTGACCCTAGCCTCTACATCTGAATGTTACAGCAGAGATGAGACTCATCAGACCAGGCAACGTTTCTACAAATTTCTTTTGTTCAATTTTGGTGAGCCTGTGCCCACTGAAGCCACAGTTTCCTGTTGTTATCTGACAGGAGTGGCACCCAGTGTGGTCATCTGATCTGCTTCAAAGTTCCATGTGTGGTGCGTTCAGTGACAGCTCGGTGCACTGGCACCAGGGTCAGGGCTGTGGCAGGTGGCGGGACAGTGGCAGCTAAGCGGCAACTCATTCAGCACCGTGTGTGAATCTGCAGAGCTGAGCAACACCACAGTGCCAGCCTGTTAAGAGACGCCTCAAACGATTTACAGTCAGTTAGGGCGGGGCCAAATTTTTGCTCCGTCAGGATAGAAGTGAGTCACCATAGCTCAGCAGCCCTAAGTCTTTTTTAGATTTTTGCTGAGCCACTTCTTCCAAGGGTATTTTCTTTTTTTTTTTTTTTTTCATTTTTAAAAATGTATTTAATGACTTCCGTCAAGGAGGTCATGATTTTGTCCGTTTTGAAATAGAGAGGGACAAAATTTCACTATTACAATAACTTTTATAGTAATTTATTACAGCTACAAAAAAACAAAACAAAATAAAAAACTACATAAATTACACGTAGGCTACCTTTAAAAAAGCATAGTGACACTGACGGTTAAGTGGTGGAAATATTAAAATGTTAAATAAATAATAATTTTTAAAAAATCTGAAAATATTATGCAAAAAAAAGAAGTTGTAATAAATGATTTTTAAAAAATGACCATTTGTGTTTATTGGACTTCATGTGGCTGAATTTACAGAACACTCAGACGGTGTTTCATGACAGTATGTTATCTATAAAGGCACGCTGCTGTTATCTCCAGCAGTGCCCCCTCCACCCTTGGCACCCATGTCCAGCTTCACATATGTTTTGATCAAAATTAAAGACTACGTGAGGGAGAGACAGACCCTCTCCTTGATATGAAATACATTTATGGCCAGACCCAAAAATGCTGAATTTAAAAAATGAATAAAAAAATGGAGAAAAAAATAATCTGTTAGGGCTACACTACACACTATACTGCTAAGGGAATTATTAATAGAGTGCACGTGGCATTATTATTATTATTATTATTATTATTATTATTATTATTATTATTATTATCATATTTTCAATTTCTGTTTTTACTTATTTATTTAGGCCTATTATTACAAATGCAGAATGTGCACGCATGCATTCATTTGATTCCTTGTAAGGATTATTCTTAAACGACCCCTAATTTTTCTTGCGTGTTAAACTGTGTGAGTTAAATGAAATGGACAAAATCAACATCAATTGTATTAAATATTTTGGAATAAATTAACCGTCACTTTCCAAATGAATTCAGTTTTCATTTTTTGCCCTAATTTTTCTCCTAATTATATCTGACCTTACTATTTATTCATTTTTAAAACTTATTTATAAATAAACACAACATTATGAATAATGTGATGATAATTTAACTCTTTATCATTAATTGTGTTGACTTTAATCTAAAACCACTCCTGCTGTGTTGTTCAGGCCTACGATTAAATAGCTAATATTTTGTTTTTATTTCACCTTTATTTATCCAGGAAGTCCCACTGAAATTGAAAATCTTTTGTAGAAGAGAGACCTGGCTGAGGTAGTAGCCAATCAGAACACATTTAAAATGCAACAAATATAACCTGTAACACAAAAATCCACAATGAAACAACAACTATTCAAACACAGTGGCCTCTTAAGGACACAAGCACATGTCTCTGTCACCACATTCTTTATGATGCCCTAATTTTAGATCTTTTTGGAGATTGTTCCATGTCCAAGGTGCACAGTAGGAAAATGCAGTTTTCCCCAGATCTGTTCAGTGGGTACATTAAAAAGCAACCACTTAAAGGAGTTGGTAACTACCAGAGCTGACACACAGCAGGCTGCAGAGGTAGGCCGGAAATTTGCCCAATATTGCTTTGTAGATGAAAATATACCAGTGCTGTTGTCTGTCAGTGACGTCCAAATCACCAAATCATAAAGAATTCAGTGATGAGTAAGGGACTTTGTATTTAAGAATGTATGGTACACTTAATGAAGGCTAGTGAAAGTGAAAATGGAGGAGGTTGCATGCATATATAAGATGTCACTGTAATCAACCACAGACAGAAAAGTGGCCTCAACAAGTTTTTCTCAGCACTGAAAGTTAAACTTGTTTCTAAAATAAAAGCCAATCTTCACTTTAAGCTTCCTAACTCGAGCAGCAATATGTACATTAAATGGAAGCTTGCCATCTTCCCACATCCCCAAGTACTTGTGTGAGGACAAGTACTTCATACATCAATTAAAATATTCACAAAAGTCTGTTCTGAATTAGTTTTTTCTCTGAAATATTCCACAGCCTCCAATGGCTGAAATGGTTCAGTGATGGGAAATGAAGTCTTTATAAAAGTGTGAGCAGTTCATTTCATGTATTTTACAGATGAGGTTGATGATTCTTCACTTCTGCGGACTCTTGTGACCTGACATGCCCTCTTTGAGTCAAGGAGGGGAACCTGAAGGGACTTAGGCACGTCATAGGCAAAATGAACATATTCTGGCAGCTGACGCCCACGATGCGACCAGCTGATACCACCTCTCGGGCTGGCACCGGGCCACCGGAGGCACTATCAGGCTTGAAGGAAGGGTCTGATAGGCGGCTTGGCATCAGCCCCCGTGGGTGTGCCCCCCGGGCCAACTGTATTTAAATAGCGGTCCAAAGAGAGAGGGTTAGCGAAACAAGCCACCATGAGTTTGAACGATAAGGACAAGGCTGCCGTCAAGGCCCTCTGGGCAAAAATTTCCAAGTCAGCTGACGTTATCGGCGCTAATGCCTTGGCCAGGTAAGTGTCTGTTTACCTTGTTACTATTGGAGATACTTTGATGACGAGCTTTTATTTCATTGGCGAAATACTGGAAGGACAAAATTTCACGCCTTGTGCAACCAAATCAGGAACGCAGCCTGTGATATTGGCTCACCTAGGCGCACTAGCATGGGGATATTGTCCGTTTTTAGTCATTTATTTAATTTTAGAACTGTAAGGTGTTACAGAGTCACTCACCAGTGACACTGAACTGAAACAGCATGCGCCAGGTTTGTTTTACGCGCAGCTCTCCGACATACCCGCCTCTAACCGCCCTCTCCACCTCCACAGGATGCTCTTGGTCTACCCGCAAACCAAGACCTACTTCACTCACTGGACAGACCATGCTCCCGGCTCTGTCCCAGTGAAGGCCCACGGAAAGAAGGTGATGAATGGCATTGGTTTGGCTGTGGCCAAAATCGACGACCTGGTTGGTGGCCTGCTGGAACTCAGCGAGCAGCACGCCTTCCAGCTGAGAGTGGATCCCTCCAACTTCAAGGTGAGACAGGGTTCATTACATCATGCATTATGAGATTACGTTCTAGTAGTTCCTTTCACGTTATACCGAAGTTAGGATGACTTGTGCGTACTTTTACGCACGATTAGAGCTTTGTTTGCGCATAAATTACGCATTCGTGCTGTGCATAAAACATCTAAATCTGATAAAAGAACGAGAATAAACATCATATGAGATGATATATGTGCTGAGGTTATGTTCTAGTAGTTCGTTTACCATTATACCGAGGTTAGGATGCCTACTTTTACGCACGGATAGAGCTTTATTTAGGTATCATTTACGCATTTATGTTGTACATATATTTACCTTACAACTGTTTTTTGTCTGACCCGCAGATCCTGTCTCACTGCATTCTCGTGGAGCTGGCCACCACCTTCCCCGGTGAATTCACCCCGGAGGCCCACGTCTCTTATGACAAATTCCTGAGCAACGTGGCCCTGGCTCTCTCTGAGAGATACCGCTAAACTGTCCGCAGTGTGGGATGCGATCTGCCACAGGAAACCATGTAACTCATGGTGCAGAATTATGAAATAAATTGCATACTTCCCAAACGTGATCTTGTGTCTTTCATGTCTCCAGGAATGTGTTTTCACTTCATACGCGCACCAGCAACAATAAAACATCTACAGGCGTTTATGTTTTATGGGCAGGGGCACGAATAAAGAAATCATATGCGTGTTTTGTTCTTTATTTCATAGTGAAAAATCCACACAGTCACACAGTTTGAAATGGAAGGAAAAAAAGTACGGCATCAAAGTCATTATGACATGAGACAGGAGTACCTACTGATATGGTGAGACAGAACAATGCTTACAGGTTTATTGTCGTGGTCATAAACACACAATAGAGGCTGTTATCATTTCATAACGACTCGTAACTTTTCGTCACCCAGAACGAGCCTGAAAAAGAAGACAGACATTGTAAACCTTACCAGCCGTGACATTTTATTTATTAATTTAATTCTTTCAATCATATTTGACTTCTCTCACCTGAGCAAAGCAGCGGCCACCAGGCCACCCCCGATGGGTCCCACCCAGTAAACCCAGTGGTAGATCCAGTAGTTGGTCATCACAGCTGGACCGAAAGCTCTGGCAGGGTTCAGACACGTTCCTGATATGTCACCCCTGCACCAAGGCAAAAAAAGTTAAATTATTACTGCAATTTTTTCCCCCAATTTATTATTTATTTTTAAAATCTACAAAATATCTGAGGTGATACAACTGTAGGAGCAAACATGATAAAGAGTTCATCATATAATTCATAATTTTGTTGGTTTGTTATACATTTTTTTTCCAAAGTGAATAAATGGTAAGGTCGGATATATTTATAAAAAAAATAAGGGCAAAAAATAATAATAACAGTAAAAACTGAATTTATTTTGTTATATGGACTTGCAAGCTATTTATTCCATAAATTAAAGTGCTGGTTAATTCATTCTGAAATAATTATTTAGATAATGAGTTTCAATTAATAATTTTAAAACAGCTTTGTTTTGAAATATTTTTTTTTTAGTTTAGGAAATTTGCATAAATTAATGCTGAATGAAGGTTATTATTTATTTGGTTTTTGGACAGTTTTAATGTCTTTTATGTTTTTGGTTGTAGTCCCCATAGGTGTAGATTTCACAAGAGGATGTGCATTTTTGGAAATGGAAATAAAAAACATTTAAATAGCAGAGGATTTCTATTCTGAAATAAAATGATGCAGAAAATGGTGCAGAAAACTTCACTACGAATGCAGGAAAATAATGTTTTTCACACTTAAAATTTCCCAGCAAAGGACCCCCAAACTCCCACCTTCATACATGTCCCCCCAAATGTTGAAACAAAACCTACACCCTTGGCTGTCCCACCAAAAACATGCAAAAAATCTCCAAATTCAGTGTTAAAGAAACTTCAAATGTTTGTCTTAGTAAATAAAAAATGGTGGTGTTTGTCATTTTTTTGTAAAAAAAACAAACAAACAAAAAAAAAACAACAAAAACAGTTCTCACTATTTAATTTTGGTAAACTTAATTTTTAAAAATTGTCACACTGTAAAGCTGGATCATTCAAGTGAAAGCAGCAACTGACAGAAGAGTGGGTGACTTTTAGACCTTATTCTGTGTAAATGTTCAACACGGTGCAGACACCATAAACTGTTAACACACATTACGGTATCAACCTTTTATCTCACCCTGCCAGGACATTGATGATGACGGTGCAGCCCACCAGGAACGGAGCCAGTGGAGTTTTCGTCTTGCCGTTGACTGCCACCAGCAGCACCACCATGGTGATCAAGCAAGTCATAGCCACCTCCCCAAAGACAGCTCCAGTCAGCTGGCTCTCTGACTTGAGTATATCAAAGGCTGCCCCTGTGGCGTTGTAGTATCGGTCTGCAGGGGTCATAATCTATAAAATGTGTTAGTAAAGATTTAATTTATTAGATTACATGTTTAAGAGGTACAGAAAGAGCTGGAACATGCATCCTTTTATAATATTGTACTCTTTCAACTGACCTTGGCCATCCCAGCTCCCAGCACTCCTCCAATCAGCTGGCTGACCAGGTAGGGACCCACCATCATCAGCTCCATGCCTCCACACAGGTAGATGGCAATAGTGAATGGAGGGTTGAAATGGGAGCCACTAAAAGAAGAGAAGCAGCAGAGAAAAGCTGAGCTCAGATGGCAAATTGTTTCTGTCTTTTTAGCCATTCCAGTTCTTTAAACCTTTACCTGATATTATCCATGACGGCCACCAGAATCGCCACAGCCAGTCCGTGCACCAGGGCCGGCTGCAGACGTCCAGCTGCAGTCACGTTCTCGATGACGGACACGCAGCCGATGAAAACAAAGAACATGGTCCCCACTATCTCGGCAAGGCAGGGCTGAAACAGAGTCTCATATTTGTTTGGAGGTCTGGGCGCTGGTGGCTTCTTGGTCCCCTTCTCCATCAGAGTAGAGTCTGTGTCTTCCATGTCCATGTTCTCAACTCCCATCTCTGCTTGTTTTTATTACTGCCTGGAAGAGACTGCTGTTTCGGGACGGTTCTCACAGATACTCTGCACCTCCAGCACCTATGTGCGACCCAGCGTCCGGAGCACTGCAAGGTGCTGTGGTTATTTATAAACATCTCCAGCAGCTGGCACACTGAACTGGAGTTGTGTCACAGGTCATAAAACATCAAAGGTGAAGGATATTCATCAGTACAATGCCCGCCCTAACACCTCCTCTCATGGACTCAGGTGGGGTGAGTCCAGTCTTTGAAGGAGTCCTCAGAGTGACCTTTTATAAGAGAGGTGATAACGCTCAAAACAAAACATAAGCTGTTTGAGGTTGACCTCGGTCAGTGGGATCAGATGAGTGCAAGTTATTCATCATCATCATCATCATCATCATTATCATTAGATGCAGGGATACACAGAATAACAGTATCAGATAATGGCTTAGTCTCTTCATGCACTCTACACTCTGTACACCTATAGAGATGAACATTAGATAATATGAGACTGAGTTACACTGGATAAGGTAGGTACATTTCAAAGCACTGTACATAAGTATCATTTTGAGATAACTGCATGTTTCCATGTGATGCTACTTACTGTACTACCATAAAGCAGAAGTGGGATTAAATCATTGTTCTGCAAGTCATAAGTAAATCAAAAGTCTTTGCACTTAAGTCCAAAGTCAATTCTCAAGGCAGGACCGACAAGTTCACGTCCTTAACTTTGAGGTCCGAGTCCTAAACAAGTCATAATGAGAGTGCATTATGACTCAAATGTAATATCAGTATCAATTGGCATTTATTTGTCAAAACAAGTTTGTTAAATGGTGCTTTCACACCTGCCCTGTTTGGTTTGATTCAATCCAAGTCAATTTTCTATTATTCCCTAAGTGTGGTTTGTTAGGGCAGGTGTGAACACGGCAATTGCACTCGGGTGCGCACCAAAAGAACCAGACCGAGACCTTCTTGAAGAGGTGATCTCGGTCCGGTTACAAATGAACTCTGTTGTGGTTTGTTTGTGGTGAGAACGTGTTCTGACCTTGATCTGAACCAACTGCAGTCACATGACACATTGTTTGGGTTAAACATGAGCATGTTACAGTCCTGGAGGATTATTAATGTGCACCTCCTCCTGTACTGCCTTAATATGCACATTCAGCACATCCAGTGCATCAAAACATTGTTTTCTAGTTGGAGCCTTGCCTCGTTTTCAAACTGTATGGTTTGACTAAAATGAACAAGTAGGCCCTTCAATGGACCCGCTGCAGTTTGCCTACCAGCCTGGCATTGGGGTGGACGCCGCCGCCATCTTCCTCCTGCATAGAGCTCTTTCCCACCTGGAGAAGCCCTGAAGCTCTGTGAGAATCATGTTCTTTGACTTTTTATTTACACATACAATTTTCACTTTGCACTAAATATGTTGAAATCTTTAATCTGACTCTTTCCCCTTGACTGCTGTAACACTGGAATTTCTCAATTGTGGGATCAATAAAGGTGTATCATATCTTATCTTATCTTATCTTATCTCCAACGTTTTGTTTACTTACTGGATTTTTCTCACATGGAAATTCTGACCAATCAAGAGCAGCTTTCTCATGCAAGTCATTTTATCTGGTCCGCTTGTAAATGCTGCCGTGAGAACATGAACCAACTCGAGGCAATTATATAACTTTGAAACAAAAGTAGTCCCCGATTTAGACCAAAGCAAGCAAACTCTGGGTCTGAAAGCACCCAGAAAGTTACTTAGCTGTTAAACTAAGGTTAGCTAAGCATTAGCTCGCTAACTGTGGTAATATTAGTGTTGACTTGCTGTTCTTTGTGCAACTTCAAACGAACGAACTACATAGTTTTTGTACATGGACGTAGTTATCTTTGGTATCATTTGTAACAACTGGCACTCAGTAACATAACTTTAGCTCTTCATGATTCTCTCGTGCAACTTGACTGGATGCTGTTGGATTGGTTTGAACAAAGTGGGTCTGGAGAAATGAATGTTGACTTGCTGTGAATGAGTTATGTTAACGGTAGTTGTTTTAGGAAATTAGGGGAAATGAATTGATTCATGGCACACTTTTTTAAATAACATACATTTTATACATATTTTATTCTTTGGGTTTTGGGGGAAGATATCAAGTATTTTCAAGTAAAAGGCTCAAGCTTAAGTGAAGTGACGAGTCATTGGTGTTCAAGTCCAAGTCGAGTTGCAAGTCTTTTTTGATTTTGTCAAGTCAAGTCTAAAGTCATCAAAGTTGTGACTTGAGTCCACATCTCTGCTATTCAAAAGGTAAACTATTTACTCCACTACAACTACAAATTAAGAGTCACTTTACAGATAAAGATTGTATATTATTGTCAAAGATTAAAACAAAAGTGCAGTGCCCAGGTTGGGCTCTGTGAAATTTTTTTGTCTGCCACTGGGTGTAATCTCCTGGTAAAATGAGGGCTTGATTAAGGGCAGAAAGGAAGTGCGTCAACCGTTGCGCAACCAAAAAATGAAGAGGATAGCGCTGTTGTTTGTCCTGGCTGCGACTGGTTGCCATCTCCAGTTATCGACTGTGAAATCTGTGGTAGCTGCCAGACTCTGAGGAAAGCGGAAAGCAATTTGGCTGTCCTTGTGACAGCAGTGCCAATAATAATACCACTTGGCACACTGTTAGCGCTTCTAAAAAAGAGACACTTTCTTCTCAACTTCTGACATGGTTTTGTTTGAAGAACAGTTTAAGGCCCAAAGAGGTCATCCAAAAAAAGTCCAAAAATATACAGATTTGTGTAGCAGAACTTTGTTTTTTTTTTGTTTTTTTTATTTACTCCCATAGACCATTTATCATCTCATGACCCCACAGATTTATTACCGCAGCACTAAACCGTTTAAGTCCTGGGTCTTCGACCTCTGTATTGTCCGGGGCTGTCAGTGAGTCATCAGCTGTTCTACAATTGATTTACAATCAACCAATAGCACAGTGACACACCTCCTCCGTTAGCCTATCATCTTACTGCTTCTTGTTCCAAATATGGTTCTTTTTCTGCCTGTAGTTTTTTCATGCTGTGCGCACCCTCCACCTCCCCATCACTGCCTAGTCTTCTTGGATTCATCAGCCTCATCCGCCTTATCAGCCTTTAGCCAAAGAGTCATCAGCCGCCACCACCTCTACCAGCGTCTGGTCGTAATGTGGGGATTTATCACACCGCCTCTGATGTCCCTCGGTCACAAAAAGTTTCCGTTTAGTGTCTAAGTGCCAAAGACCTCTGCTAAATCTTAATTAGCACAAATAATCTGTCAACCTGAACACCAATATTCTCTATTAAACGTCATCTTTACTTCATTCATCCATCTCTCCTGATTGGAATAATGTTACAATAAAACACTCACTGGGAGCATTTATCCTCAGAGTTAGTAATTTTACCTTTGATTAAGTACCTTTCCATTATAATACTACATTTTAAATCTAGTATTTTTACATAGCTACACACAGGCGATTACTCACATAAAGTACTTAAGTGCTCAGTAAAGCACTGAGTATTTAGTGACTGGTGACAAATGCAGATGTTTTCGTACAGGGCACGAGTCTCTACCGAATAGCTTGATGTGTATTAAAATGACGTGATCATCATCAGAGGTAGAGCGGGTCGTCCACTAATTGGAAGATCGGCAGTTCGAACCCTGGCTCCTCCAGTCCGCATATCAAAGTATCCTTGGGCAAGATACTGAACCCGAAATCACTCCTGATGGCTGTTCCATCAGTGTGAATGGTTAGTAAGGAGAAGATGGCATTGTGTATGGTAGCTTCGGCCACCAGTGTGTGACTGTGTGTGAATGGGTGAATGTGACGTGTATGACGTGTAGTGTTACAGTGCTTTGAGTGGTTGGAAGACCAGAAAAGCGCTGTACAAGTGCAGTCTATTTACCGTATGCTATGGCCTTGACAGTCACCAGATATCAGCCTAATTGTACACATATAGGACATTTGGACCAAACTGTCGCTGCCTTCATCAACACACCAAGCGGTGATGGAATTTGAAATTGGAATTACAATTCATAGGTATTTTCGACCTACTTTACTCCTTCTTATCAGGATTTTTTTGTCTTTACTTGAGTCTGTGTAGTCCTAAAAAGAAAAGAGCGAAAAAATCTGCCTGTGCAGCAAAAATATTTGTCATATTATTCACATATCTTAAGTGCTAATACCCCGAAAGAAATGCCATTATGAAATTGAAAGGTTATTAAACTGCCCAACCTATAGTCAAAATCAGCTTCACCTCAAGCAACTATTAAAGTAAAAGGCAATTTACACATAAATGCATCATTAAAAATAACCTTATACAGAGTCATATTTCTGCATGGGTACTTTTACTTCTGATCCCTGAGTACATTTTCACTGGTAACACTTAACTGAACTTTAAAAGCAGGACTAGTATTTTTTTTTAATTTTTTTAGTATTTTTACATTCAGGTCAGCTTTCACTTAAATAAAGTATCTTCTTCCACCAGTGACACCACAGAGATAAGAGATTATCTTCTTCAAGACGGGTGTTCATCGCTCTGGAGGCTTGTAGTGGCCCAACACCTTATTTTATGTGGTTCTTTAATGTGTCACCCATCTGTATTTAACTGTGTGCCTTTATATTCAAATCCATGAATATCTATGTATTGCAGACCTTTGATGAGCTGAAGGTATATTGTTTGATTGCTGTTTCATCACTGTATGCATTTCATCATACCTCTTTAATAAAACAATAAAGGTTGTATGCAGTTTCCATGTGTGACTGCAAAGGATTGACAGGTTTGCAGGTTTCAGAAAGCTTTTCATTCTAATTTACTTTGTTTCAGTTGATCTAAGGTCATCTAAGGATGATTCAATCTAGCCTTATTGTAAAGTGCAGTGCCCTGTCCTTGTACCATCTTCTAAGTAATAAAGCTATCAAAGCATGGTTTCCCATTGAGGACTCTGACCCCAAACAATGAGCACAAAAAAACTGTTAATGGATAACAGAAAGTGTGATCATTCGTATGAAATCGTAGGTATGGAATTTATTATGAAATGTCTCTCAACTTTTTTCCAGCAGTAATCGAGCATGTAAGGTACAATTAAGGAGTAGCTATCAGATCCCTATCACATCATCAGACACTTTATTGAATCTTGAAATACAAACATGTCACTGAGTTGGTGCCGGGTCAATAACAGCCAGGTCAAGGACAAATACCTTTGCACACATTTTGCTGACAAATTTAAATATTACAGTCTGATTCTTGAGTAATGCATGAACAAACAAATGGAAACGCTGTCCTCGAGTCAGTCTTGAAGTCCTCTCTGTCTTCCTCTTTAATAAATTACACTTTCACTTCAACACAACACGGGTCTTCTGGTCACCGAACAGCAACCTGCAAAAGAATGATACTTCAATTATGGTCATTCACAACAGCAGGGAGTGTGACATAATATGTTAAAAATGTGGATGATTAATGGACAGGTCTATCAGGCACAGGCCCAGGGACCCAAGTGATCGGTCCTGCCCCTTGTACCCCTCCAAAAATTGTAAAATTTCACTGGAAAAAGACACTAAACAACTGCAAGATGCAAAATAACTATAAAAAGATGCAAAAAAACTATAAAGAGACACAAAATGCCACAAAACAATAACAAAAAAAGATGCAAAATGACTCAAAAGAAACTCAAAATGCCCACATACAGATGTAAGATACCTACAAACAGATGCACAAAATCTCCACAAAAAGAAGAAAAACACTTCCATATAGACACAAAACAACCGTATAGGCACACAGTGTTACAAAAAAACTACAAAAAGATGCAAAACAACTAGAAAGAGACTCAAAATGTCCACAACTGTTTAAGTCACTTTAAGTCTGGGGGTCTTTTGCATGTCAATACTCGACAGTCTCATATTCCCATTAGTGTTTAAGAAGCATATTCAATAGCTAGTAACTGCTTGACCAAACTTAAACCAAGAAGTAAGGTGGAGGTCAGACTGTAATACAGCTCATTGGGTAGAGCTACAGGAGCACACTTTCTTGGCTCTGTGTAAAGTCCGGGGGAAAAAGGAGGTGGAAGGTCACGACTGTGATAAACTTCTTACGAAGAATTATCTATTCAGCAACAGAACTGTCCAGTTTAATCCAGACTTTACTTATCATCTTTACGTCACCTACATAAGATACACTGCTGACCTTTGAGCATCATGTGTGGCGTATCATCCAATCAGCTAACTAACTTCGCCACAGTCTCTTTCAGCCACGCATGTTGCTCCTGCCAAACATTAAGTCTGTTCTCCTCTCTGCTGCTGTCAGCTGTCATTTAAAGTGGAATCGTCGCACCCTCCTCCACCCCTTTACCTCCAGTCACCTTATCCAGAGCCCAGGACAAGCTCAGCAAAAACCCACTCCTTTTCACATCCAGATCCTCAGCGCCCTCTTCATCTCATCTCATTACCATCTAAACTCCATAGCAGGGCTGCCCTAATCTGCTACATCTTTACCTTCCTCCTTAAAAATACGACGTCACAATGGGCTCTAATCGCCAAAGACTTTTCACATTTCTCATACTCGTGTGCACATGTAAATAAATGTTCTCTTCTCCCAAAACGAGCCGCCTGATTGAAATGAGGTCTGTGGTTTAACTCAACCAATTCGGTTATTTCTGCTTCTGCTGAATATATCATTTACCTTAGCTGCAATCTGACACCACCAGGTTGGGAAAGTACCACAAATTACAAAAAGTACACTGGAAATATGGTTTCATTTCAACACCATGAAGGTGCCTTGTGGAATTTTCTTCTCAGCAAAAGTGACCATGTAATATTTTTGACTACTCACTGAGGTCTAACAAACAAATTGAATGCATTTCCCTCCTCATAAAACAGTTTGCAAGACTTCTTAACTACTTGACAGCAGTCTTCATCTTCACTGCCTTTTTGGCACATTGATACATTTGCTGTAAATTACTGCCACCAACTGTCGATCAGTAGAATGGCATGAAACCACTGGAAGGATGTGAATCAAGCCATCCACAAAACAGGGACCAACTTGTGGAAAACATTGCTCCACAGTGCCTCTAGTGGTCAAACACTTAACAGGATACCTTAACGTTTCAGCAACAGTTCCCTCTATAACCAACTTGAGGTTTTATTACATAAAGAAATGAACAAACCTGTTAAATATCGACAGTGGGAAATTACCACTGTGTACTCAGCTATACATACCTGGTGAAGCTGACAGTAAGCAGCGCACCACAAATGGGTCCAACCCAGTAGATCCAGTGATGGTTCCAGTGGTTGGCGACCGCTGCAGGGCCGAAGGCTCGGGCAGGGTTCATACAGGCCCCAGACACCATCCCTCTGAAACAACAACCAGCACAAACCCACACTGTAAAACAGCAGTATGCTTTTCATTTTGGAAGCAGCTGATACCTTTTCAGCGACAGAGACACTCAAAATCCAAGTCATGCAGTAGAGATTTTTTAATGTGGTTTTAATGCACCATAAAATTTCAAATTCTGCCCACGATTTTTTTTTTCAAATGAGGAATATCAAAATCATCCCTGGACAGTAAATATATATAGATTAAACATTAAACTGAGAGTCAATCACCCCGACAAAGTTAATAACTCAAAACAATAATGAACCTTGACCTCCATATGATAACTGACAACAAACAATAATAATAATAAAAGTGTGGCGTAGGCTTGTGGCCAGGGTTGTCGCTATCACTGAGGACATTGTGCTCATGTCATCTGTATCTTGATTTCTATCTAGATAATTTTCACGCTGAGTCTGGTATATTTCAATTTGCCGACTTTTGGGCTAAGTAGAAGACATGAATGAGGTAATGGTGATGCTGTGGATGACTTATCTTCTGAGACTCTTACCCAGCTAATATGTTGGCTGTGACGGTGAGGCCGATGCAGAAACCAGCCCACGGCGAGCGGGTTTGGCTGTTGACGGCCCCCATGCACACCACCGTGGTGAGGAACAGGGTCATCGTCATCTCTGCCAGAGTGGTTTTAGCCAGATCGTTGTTGGCGAGTTCAAAGGCTCCTCCGAGGGAAGCAGCATACACAGCAGAGGGGTAGATTGCCTGAATGTAGCACAAATTGAATATATATCATCCAGTGCATGATACATTTGACTGGAGTGAATAGATATTATGTATTTTCACCCTTTATTTTTTGCCACACAAAGCATGCTAAGAAATCAAGAATAGGTGTTACTTGGATTAAAAGTTAGTGAAGATTCCAGTCATTTGTTTTTTTAGTCACAATTTCAATAAAGGTTCATAATAATGATACAAATCTAAAAATTGCTGAGTCAAAATTGTGAGAGAAGTAGTCAAAAACTGGACTGAAAAGTGAAATTTATCAACGCTCTCTTCAAAGCCAGACTCCATTGAAAAAACAGTCATTTTACCTGGCTGAAGATGGGAGCTGCTGATCAGCAACTGCCTCGATCTGTAGCTGGCTTGTGTCACTAAGCGTTTAAAACATCAAAGTCATAGACAAACTAATAAATCGAGGTAGCAATAGATTAGCAGCTCCTGTGTTCAATGAGGTAAAATGACTGTTTTTGTCAGTGGAGTCTGGCCTTGAAGAGAGCAGGGATAAATTTCACTTTTACTTCCGTTCCCCGTCAGAGAGGGCCGTCTGGAAAGAACAGAGCATACGGCTGGATAGGAGGAGGATGGAGTTGTGTGAGAATTTGTAAACGAATATTTTGAAATAATTTTGCTGTTGTAAAAATCGGCCCCTTTTACTCCAATTCATCAAAAAAAATTCTGTTTTTCAAATTTTAAGTCACAGTCACAGTAGGTGAGTAATTGATATATAAAGGATTATTTTGTCGGTGAAATGTTTCAAGTCAAAATCTTGAAATACTAAGGCAAGATTTTAAGATGTTATTATGAATTTTTCACTTAATATGCCAACATTAAGAGATAATAAGTCAACACTGCAACTCACTATTTAAAAAATATGGAATAGTAAGTCAAAATAATATGTTAACTTAGTATCTCATGATTTTTGCTTTAAAAGTCAAATAATCTTGACTGTGAACGTTAACTTTTCTACATTGTATTATTATATTTTTTCTTATCTTTTTTTAATGGGAAAGATGGATAACAACAAGTGTCATTCCCTTTTTTTTGTAAACAGAACAGGAACAATAAAAATTGTCTCTGCACTGAAAAGGAAAAAATAGCCATAAATTATGGAAGTATTATTCCAGACAAAACAGTACAATGAAGTGTGTACATAATCCGGTTGTAAGTAACCCCAAAGTAAGCTTGGTTAAAGAGAAAGCAGGAAAGGTAGATCGATAAAATAATCTTAAAAAAAAAAAGTAACTAATAAATTCAAAACAAATTAATCATTGAAATATATTTATACAAATAAATCACATTAAAAAACATTAAAATTAATAAAAAATAAAATAAGGGACAAGGACAGGATTATTGAGGGATTAAAGGAGTTTATAAAAGAATTCCATTTCTGAGGAGTTAACTAATCAGAAAAGCCTTTCACTGTTAAACGTATTTTTTCAAATTTAAGAAAGGACATAACATCCTTAAGCCACAGTGATATAGATGGTGATTTGGGAGATTGCCACAGGACTAAAATGCCACATCTCGCCAAAAGAGAAGTAAGGGCTAATACTTCTGACTGTGAGGAGTTAATTTGGAGTTGTTCAGATGATACACTAAATATAGTAATAAAAGAATCCATTGCTATCTGGACTCCTAAAACCTTTCTTAAAACCATAAAAAAAAGTCAGTCCAGAATTTATGTAGTCTGGGCAGGAAAAGAATATACGACTCTAATTACATGATGAGCCGTGGCATCTGTCACATTGGTCCACAATATTAGGATATATTTCAGATAGTCGAGATCTGCTGAAATGGACTCTGTGTAAAACCTTGAATTGTACAAGCTGCAGCCTGGCACAAGGAGTAGTTGAGCGTACATTATGGACAAGTTTGGCCCACCATAGTTTTTCTCACCTTGGTCAAACCAGCACCGACCATCCCTCCTAACATCTGAGCCATGACATAAGGCACCAGCAGGGGAAGCTCCATCCCTCCGCACAGGTAGACGCTCAGAGACACTGCAGGGTTAAAGTGCCCCCCACTGCAATAAACATAATGAACTTTAGTCCCACATGGTGTTATAAACAGATAATAATGACACCTATCCATTAGATATGAGATAAACACAACTTGCAGGTGATTCTTTGTATGTCTACTTATTTTGTTAGACTAAAAATCATAAGAAACTATTTGAAGAGTAGTATTGTCTACTTCTGTCTAAATCACAGTAAACACATTCACATTAAATTAGTCAATTTATGTTTATTCTACACATGCTGTTTGGAGGAAATGAAGACCTTCCTAATATTATAAAAACAAAAAAATATTAGCCTGCTCCAAAAACACACTATCAAGAATTCAACAGTCTTTACCTAATTTGCCCCAACACCATGATCAGCACTCCCAGAGCCAGTCCATGTGCCACAGCAGGCTGGATGACACCACTTGCATCCACATTCCCAATAACAGACGCACAGCCCACGAACACAAACAGACTCGTCCCAAACAGCTCAGCCAGGCAGGGCTGCGCATACTTCTCAAAGAAGCACCTCTTCTTGTTTGTGTCGCCTCTGACAGCTGCCAGCTCTCCCGTCTCAGTTATGGTGAACACCTCTGTCTTGGTTTCTGTCCCTGACATATTGACTTGGGAAAAATATAAACAACCTGTCTACCCTGTGCCACTTGTTCCACTGGTGGACCACAGCCCGCACTGGGTGGTCTGGTGAATGTACACTTATGTATAAGAGACCGTCTTAGGATGATCCATAAAGGACATACGCACATCCTTTTTTTCCACTCTAATGCTCCACCTTCCTGTGATTGTCTATACTCCCAAGACTGTTGGCAATCAGAAGATGCTCATAAAATTATAAACACTGTGTTGTTGAGAGATAAGGATGAGGGGTGTCAGCACAACACGTGCTTTGTTTAGTGATACCACATCTTTTAGTTCTCTATCAGGTGCATCATTTTAAACAACTGATGAAGGTGTAAACTTTAGTTTTTTGTGTTAAATCTTCAATAACTGATTTTTTGGCCACTTTGGGAGCAGCACAAACAAACAATGAACATAACACTTACATTTACTTTTAAGTTGATATGACAAACACATTAGCAGCAGAAGAAGAAGCAATCAGAGATTTTACTTAAAGGGATACTTAGATCATTTTCAACCAGCTTTGTATCATAACAATGTGGGTAGTATGTGTAAATTAATGAACTGTGGTAAACGTCCCTCTATCTAACTACTGCCTAGATCTCCCTGCTCCCCTCCAGTGTTGCCAACTCTTTTCCCATGAAAGTAGCTAGCAATAGCTTGAAAACTTACTAAAAAGTCACCAGATGGCGTCATGTGCTCATCTGCATATTAGCAATGTCATCGCACATTAGTAAAGGCATCAAAACCTCACTTAATTAGATACAATAGAAAATTCTTCAACAAAACATTTGAATGGCACGAGAGCTATGGTGGTTATGCTGTAGTACACTTTCTCAAGCTTTTAAGTCCAGAGAGCGAGAGCGCCAATGTAACCATAGAAACTCATTACAACGGCAAGCACCGCCTCCTCATCTGTTCCGTGGATGTTTTAAGAGAATTGGATGTGGCATTGAACGCGGGGCCCTGTTCATTCCTATGAAAGTTGCGCAGTGTCACATGAAGCCAAAATGGATCAACTGCAGCGTATAAAAATTACCTGGATGATACAGGGATTATTAGCATTACTTCCACTCTGCGCAGCCCATAGAGCGGGTGCACTGGAGACTTACAGTAGCCAAGTGTAGTCGAGCATCTAACGTCCGACAGTCAAACCACTAACTTGTGGTTTAGTGCTCTACTTACGTTTAAAGGGATGAAATAATTTAATCTTTGCAGGTTTTTGTGATGCTCCATAAAAGTTTATTATTTTTGTTTTGTGTTGTTTTATTTTTATTTATTTATTTTTGTGGGTAAACACTAGGGGCACCAGACAGTAGGGGATATAGGTAGCCAGGTGTTAGAGGCAGGTGATGCACCGGGAAGGGGAAATGGTTTTTTACCAGCAGGACAAAGCAGAGAGGCAGCATGGTTTTTGAACATGTTTGTTTGCTGTTGAAAGCTGAAAATAAACCTTCTGAACGGAGCTACTGGGGGGGACAAGGCACCTTGTGACAGTGTAATCATAGCATAAATTTTAATAATAATTAGAAACGAGACCCCAAGATGGCGCCTATTCATTCCAATGGAGCTGCTCGTCTGGCGCATACTCCAAAAAAGTTTTCTAGCCTCCAGGTTTACTTTTGCAGTATGTGGATCACTGAATATGCACACAGGTATTTCTTCCACTGGCTTCGCCCGCAACTTCCTGCTTTGCTCATAGACTTTACATTGGGATGACGTCACAGAGTTTAAATCGCTTTTCTCAGCTTGAGGATTTTTTACAAATATAAAACCACTATAGCTAATAGTCACAATTGACCTTGTTTGCAGTTCGAGGTGTCCTGTCAACAGTTTTACAGCTATCTTTTTTTATAATAGTGGTCTATGGAGAAAAGCTTTATGGGCTGCAGGTTTTTTTTTTTAAATTTCTGCAATACCGCGAGTGGCCACTGGGAAAAAATGGCTCCAAGGCTGAGCTGCTTTCCTGGGGGCCTGATTTACAGTGTTTGGCCACTACGAATATTAAGGCCCATTTCCACCGCAGGAACTTCGGGGTAATTTTATGGGGCTGGGGCCGTTGGTGCGTGTCTCCACCGCAGGAACCACCCCCGAAGGACAGAGTTCTGGAACTTTTACAAGGGCTAAACAAGTCCCTGCCTCGGTGTAGGTATTCAGAACGGCCCTGAGAAACTCCTGGCTGGGGCTTGGGGATTACTTGGTGCTGATTGGATATACTCAAGGCGGGATGTGATGTTTTGTAATTAATAACATGGTTATCGTAGATTAGCTGGGCTAACCGTTAGCTGTTAGCGGTGTCTGTAATAACTCTATTTACGGTCCGTGAAAAAAATATTTTTTCTAGTGGATATCTTAGTTACAACATGATTGAGCTAGCAAAGCAGATTTGTGTTGCTATGTGTGGTATTTATTCAGGTTTGGGAAATCACGATGTCTAGAAAGCATCAGCTGACAGGGACAGCTAACAGCAGCAGCAAAGCTAACATCAGGATGTCATCTGTTAAAAGCCTCCTGTTGTCGGATATGACATGAAACTACTCCAGTTAGCTCAATCATGTTGTAACTAAGACATCCGCTGGAAAAAATATTTTTTTCATGGACCGTGACCGGAGTTATTACAGACACTGCTAACAGCGCCCCTACGCCCCTACGTCACCCCGGTCAAAATGGTCACGCAACGATTACGTAACATACAGAGCACGGTAACTTTACAGGAGCCTTCCTCCTACTCCGCTCTCTCAGTGGAGACACGGCGGTTGAGAGGGCCGAGCGAGAGGACGTTCCTGTAGTAGTTCCTGCCCCCCAAATAGTACCAGGAACTTCTTCAGTGGAAACGGGCCTTTAGCTTCAAAAGCCACCTCACGGGGGCCTGGTCTGCCTCACACCTACTACATGGTGCATGAGAAGAGAGGGGGAGAGACCCTGTACTGATGGCGGAAAAGCAGTTGACTGCAATCACTCTAAACAGCATGCATGAGAATAAATTACAGTATAATTCTTAATTCTCGGTGATAGCTTTGTCGCTAGTTGCCTTTTAAAAAACAATTGCTAAGAGGGCCTGAAAAGTTGCTAAATTTATCCACTTTTTTTGAAACCGCAATTTTTTAAGTCACTCAAATGCTTCAAAATTCATGTGTTGGGTATTTATTTATTGACGTATTTTATGTTGTCGAATAAAACTCTCTTAAGCTTGTGTAAACCACAGACCTTATTTCAGGACTCTAACCAAAAACCCATTCAAAAGGACTGTCACAATCTTAACAGACACATTACGTTGTGGTCACATCTAAAGTTAGCTTATAGTAGCAAAACGCTAGCTAGCTAGGTTAGCTAACATATAGCTATATAAATAGGTGTTAGCCACATCTCAGATCATCATTATCAAATATATTTCTATAAATATGAGGCCAAGGTAGCAGGAATCCACTTTCACTATAAATACAATTTCAGTATACATGAAGACATGATTAACCTTATAAATAACAAGATGTAACCCTTACCATTACCCTTTCTCTAACCGTAACCGCCTCTCTTTTAGCCTAACACTTCAGAGCTAGCTAAATGCTAACTGTATGGAGGGCGAGGCACATAACTAGTGGGCGCCCGGTTGGCTCGAGCCATGACCACAGGCACAAAGAGTGAAAGTGAATCAAGAGACAGACCCGCCCCCCTTTCTCTGTCAAACTCACACCAAACAGTTAAACTGGGCAGTGCTGATCGAATATAAACCAAGATTATGATACTGTGTTGTCTATTTCCGGCCTAAAATGTATTCAGAAACTTTTTTTAGTGCCCTTTTAGCTGTAATAGCACAATTTTGTGAACAGGAAGTGGGCGCCATACTGTTTCCTGTATGGTGAAATGGAGGCTGAAAAAACTGAGATTAAAGATAAAATTAGTTGTTGTGTTTTCAGAAACATGTTTTAGCTTACCCTTTAAGTGTAATACGAGATTGTCTGTTGCCAGCCGGCCGCCATTGTGTCAACTGGCAAGTTCGCATTTTGTCACATACCAGCTAGAGCGTTTATTGGTCCGGCCTTGTTGTGCATTCTGGTAGTTGTAGTAGTTTTTCGACCTTTTGAGCAAACCCAAACGGTACAACCATTTTCCTGTTTTCTGCTGTAAAGTAGCAAAAGCATTTGCATCTTTCCACTGCATAGACAACCTAGTTTATGAAAATACAATTTTTCTAGTGGGAAAATACTTCTTCAAGTAAAAGTAGTAATACTGCAGTGTAGCAATAATCTCTTACAATTAAAAGTCATGCATTTGAAGTAATTATTATGCGGGATGTCCCATTTCAGAATCATATATATTACTAAATTATAATTAGTGGTGCATTAATGTTTAAATCATTTTCAGCTGGTAAAGGTGGAGTTAATTTTAATTACTTTTTATAGCTTAACCTTTTATAATATATCAGAATTTATTGATTGATTTATATTTTGTATTAATTATCTAAATCTACAAAGTAACCAGGAACTAAAGCTGTCAAAGTACAGAAATACAGCAATGACTCGTTCAAACAGACCCAGTTTTGTTGTTTGTTAGTTTTGAACAGTAGTTTGCAGCTTGGCAGCCATCTCACCTGGTTAACACACCATCCACCATCCCCTCCACCTTCTGAATACAAATTCAGCTCATACATTACATCACTGGAATTACTTGTTCAGTGGCCTCCTTGCAAATGTTGAGTCCAACATTCACTCTGCTTTCAGGTCAGTTCGGTCTCCTCTTCTTCTGGACGGAAACATCTAACTCTTCTGCTAAATGCTCCATTATTCACCAGCTAGTCACTAACTTTTCCAGTGAGCCAGTTATTTGCGATATTAACACAAAGAAAAGCTGCTGCTGCTGCAGCTGGAACAACGCTGATGAGAGCAGTGAGAGTCAATCAAAACAATACCACCTCACGGTTTTATGCCTCCGTGAACCAGTCAAGTTGCAGTTTACATCCATGTCTGTCCAAACTAATATGTCACCATGAGAGCTGGCAGTGCTTCAAATATGGATGTTGCTGCGAAGAAGCTACATATTCTAAAACGTGGATACTAAAGACACATATCCTGAGTTGGGCAGCACAAAAGATCTACAATTACAGTTTCAAAATGGGCTCCCAAGATTAGTGTCACAAATTCAGTATGTGATCAAGTGTCACCCCTTCTGATTCTGAGTTATGATGGTGAATAATGGCCAGATGTGATTTTGCAGAACATTATGATGTCACAGAGAAGTTGACCTTTTGGATATAAAATGTCATCACTTCATCATATTGTCCTATTAGACATTTGTGTGAAATGTTGTTGTAATTAGTGTATGAATTCTTGAGGTATGGCCAAAAACATGTTTTGTAAGGTCACAGTGATCTTGACCTTCAACCCTTAACGTGTTCTTGAAATATTGCAGGCGTGGAGGCATTATAAAACTGCAGTCAGATAATTCACTGTGGGAACCCTTTCACATACAAGTAGTAATGTGATCTGTTTAGTAAGTATAAAAATATTGATTCAAGCCATTTTTAATCCTGACAGTAGCTGAATATAAATATTTCTCTGTGAATGAATGTCCCTAAAAACACAACCCAGTTTATACTGTACACACAGTCTACATAAACACACAAACATTCATGCAGTTTATATTAGTGATATCAGCTTGTCCCTCCCACTGCAGATAGCTGATAATGTGATATGAACTCCATGACAAAGTCCATAAATGAAGCGTTCACAGTCTTACACAAAGAGACTTTTTTTATTTAACAGCACTTTCACATTCTTCATCAAATATAATCTGTCACAAACTAATCTGTGTGTCCTCTTTGCTGTTTCAAACTAGACTCAAGAATAGAAAATGTTTTACAGACAAATATAAATGAATCGATGATTGTGATGTAATGCATTTCTTGCAGTTTGACACTAGTTATATCGCATGCGTTGGTGTGTGTTTTGTAAGAAAATGGGTGTGAAAGTACAACTGATTAATAAATAAAATCAAAGTGGCACATAAAAAGCAGAAAAGAACAAACATTAAAATCCAACACAGGTGAGCAGATTTTGAAATCATATTTGTGTTTAAGTGACTGTGAAGTCACAGACAAAATTTGTCTGAAAGCATCTTGATCTTTTTTTACAGTCTGTAACTCTGTGCCAGTGTAGAGACAAACCTCGTCACAATTCTCAGCCTCGCATCTTGGAGACCTGCGGGGTCACAAAGGATGCTCGTCAAATCACATTCTGCTGATGCCAGGAGTTTTTGCCCCGGAACAGCTCCCAGACGAGAGCTTGACGGAGAATACGGGGTTTCCTCTTTCCCAACTTCTCCTTTTCCCGCTCCTTCTCCTGCTGTTGATTTTGGCGTACACACATATTAAATCATGTCCAACGGCTGAGCGGTTTCACACTCAAAATGCCAACTGCGACAGACCTGAGGAAACAGAACATGACCTGTTCTTGTAAATTATTACACCAGAGGTTGAAACTGGGAGGATGGCTGGAAATATGAGCAATTTAGAACATATTAGTAACACAAAGTAAATAAACTAAAGGACAGCATGGCGCCAAAGTGGTCACAGATGACCCTGGAACTGAGTAGTCATAGTTTCATATTTCCTACTACATCTTACAAAACTGTGTGTTACCCAGGTTGAGCTTGTCCTTGGTGGCCCAGCAGATGCTGTAGTGTTGAAGAAGTTGTTGCAGCAGCTCCCTCTCATCCAGAAACTCCAGACGCTCGATTCTGCAAGACATAAAAGAAATATTTGATCATCTGTTCGGGAATGTGATCTTTCAAATAAGACTATGCACACACAGAGGGTAAATGGCTTCAAAAGCAACAAGCCCGCACACACACTTGTTTGTTGATGCACATATAACTCCATTATTCAAACATTCCGAAATCAGAGTTAAGGGGTATTTGAGCAACAACTCCCAGGAATTTTGGGGGACTAGCAAGAGACAGACTGAAACAGAATAGTCAAACTTGATGCTACAGAGGCTGAGATATTCTGACTTTTAGTTCCTATAGGTCAAGCTCTGGATACTACACTTCCCATAATGCAACTCAGCAACATCTTTGGTTGGACCCTCCGCCTGGTAGCGACTGAATAACGTCAGTATTACAGAGAACCAATTTCCGTTAAATAAATTGGTGCCAAATTTCAATATCTGAGAGCGCATTTGGGTGAAAACGCTGGGTTCAGACAGGAGGCGGGAGCGCCACAGAACGCCGCAATGTGTCAACTGTCACCTGAGCAGCAGCCTGGCTGGATCGCATTACTCTGTGATTCTGCCCCTTTGCTCTTTTCTTATCACAAGTAGAGATAATCTTTATCATGTCTGACTGTCTGTCTGCTTGTCTCTCTTGCTCTGTTTAGATACATCTTAAAAATATGTTGAGCAAGTTCGTAATAAAAAAGAACACAGTCACAAACAGAGACACTTGGCTGTTTCTAAGACATATAGTGAGGGGGTGGATTTTGAAATTTTATCATATAATTAATATCTTATAGAATATATCTTGTACATAAGTGAACGTTAACTGGCGATCTGTGGGTCACATACAGCCTAACTAATTTTGTAAATCTATCTGACATCTTGTCTGTGAAGATTCTCAGTCATCCAGGTCATGGTAATCATAGAAGTGCTATATCGTAGGCAACTGGACTTGCTTGCGTTTCTTGAAGACGTTTCACCTCTCATCCAATAAGCTTCTTCAGTTCTAACGGACTGGTGTGAGGTCACAGGCTTTAAACCCCTGTGTGGGTGTGAACCCTTACAGAGTCGTTTAGGTCACAAGTGAGTCATTGACCCACCTGGCCATCTTGTGCGTTGTTAGGGTTAGATGGATCCAGGTGAGATTGGGTGTTAAGTTGTCTGGGGAGGGATCCCAAGACTGCAATGTATGTGAGTGGTAAGTGGTGTCATAGGCCACCTCCTCTGTTTAATGATTCCAGTTTGACGTAGGTGGCTGTGGACATTGCTGTCTTTGAAAGAGAGTCCCTTCTGCTTTAGATGTAAGCGGACAGCTGAGTCTTGACCTGAGGGGCTGGCTCTCCTGTGCTGTGCCATGCACTTGTGGAGCGGTTGTTTAGTTTCACCAATGTACAAATCTGTACATTCCTGGCTGCACTGAACTGCATACACTACATTACTCTGCTTATGTCTGGGTGTTTTGTCCTTAGGGTGGACAAGTTTCTGCCTCAGTGTGTTACTGGGTTTAAAGTGCACAGGGATGTGCTGTTTGTTGAAGATCCTCCTGAGTTTCTCAGATATATCTAACACCACATCCCTCAGATGACTCACATGTGACCTCAATGACTTTGTTGGGTCCACACCCACACAGGGTTTAAAGACTGTGACTCTGCACCAGTCAGTTAGAACTGAAGAAGCCTCTTGGATGAGAGGCGAAACGTCTTCAAGAAACTCCATCAAGTCCAGTTGCCTACAACATAGCACTCATGATTATCTGTCAGCTCATTGTCAGCTTACTATCAATACACAGCTGGCGTGGAAGGTTCAGGTAAGGTTACTAGAAAATATCATGCGTTAATTATTAATAACTTACAGAAACATTACGTGCAATCGCACACGTTCTCTCCTCCTCTCTTTGTCACTCTCTCCCTCTCACTCATAACAAACACACATGCACAGCAGCAGTCAGTCCCTGTCTCTGTCCCTGAATCTTCATGCAAGAATGGGGACAAACGCCTATCTCTCTTTTACATTTTGTTCGTTCTTTAAACATGCTTCTGCCTAACACAGTGGTTCTCAAACTTGTTGTGCCCAAAATCTCAAGGCACACCTGTATTTATATCTGTGCACAACAGCTCCAACACTTGTTATCATTCTTATCGTGATAAAAGACAATAAAATTAAGAAAAACAAGACAGGTAGCTTTAGTGATACTGTCTACTGACTTTTTCTCTCTCTCTTCTTTCCATGGTAGGTCCTCTTCGCTAGTGCTTTGTTGTAATTTGCTCCGTACAATAAAGCGATCTATTGTCCCATTCACAGCTTTCTCTTTTTAACTGTTACCATCCCTCACACTGGCTGCCAATCAGGGGTTTTGGTGTGTCACTCACTGATGACTGAAGTTAAATTAAATGACATTACATTTTTTTAAGCTAGAGTTTACCTCTTTATTGGGAAATGGCTGTGCACAATATACTGATACAGTCAGTTAAAAATTCATTCATAACTTTTTGTACAGGCCCAGTTGAATATTGCAACAATAATATGTGGTTATCACAAAATCCCACAGCACCTCTGGGCTAGCATCTGACCTAACACTTTATTTTATACACTTTTAATTTATCAATAAAATGATGCTATTATATATTAAAAAAATATTAATAAACTTACTAAACAATGGTAGGCTTATAACTCCCTTATGACCCCTGCTGTATATTGTTTCTAAGAGATTATGAGTGTGTTTTCTTGCCAGTTTCACTCACAGCCGCAGAGCAAATAGACCAGATGCCAAATATAGCACTGCAGACCCAATTGATTAATATGTGGGCCACACTTCTGCCTCCTGTGTGAACCCAGTTTGACGAGAGAGAAAGTGATAGAGCGAGACTATGTCACCCTGTAGCTTGTTCAAAAACTACATTTTTGTTATAACAGAGGGAGTAAAGTACCAAAAAAAAAAGGTACGGTTTGGTACCAGAACCAAATTCCAGGCACTGGTGCTGGTATTGTTCTGAATGTGAAAGGTACCCAACCCTAAACCCTGGTTACCCTATTATCCAGATCACTGCACTCCGAGAATGCAGGGTTACTTGTGGTTCCAAAAGTAGAATAGGCACCAGAGCCTTCAGCTATCAGGCTCCTCTTCCAGTTTCTGTCTGTCCCCACATTTAAAAGTAGACTTGAAACTTTCCTCTTTAATAAAGCTCATAGTCAGGGCTGGCTCAGGCTTGTTTTGGACCAGCCCCTAGTCAGGCTGATATAGGCTTAGTTTGCTAGGGGACTCCCTATGATACACTGCATTCATTCTCTCCTCCTCCATCCTAGAAGAGGGATCCCTCCTCTGTTGCTCGTCCTGAGGTTTCTACCATTTTGGGCTTAATAAATAAAACTGAACTGAATTAAATGCTCACTTCTGTAATAATGTAAAAAAGGATTAGTAACAATGCATAAGATGAAAATGTGTGATCTGTTTATCTGACAAATACTGCAGTTTTTGTGCAACCACGTTTAATGGAGCAGTGCTAAGTTGTACTTTAGCAGATGCTGGGTGATGTTGAACCTGCATTACCTTCCCACATCCTCCTGGGGCAGCATACTGTAAACCGTCATCATGTCCAGAGCGTCAGCATGCTCCCAGCCTGTCTTAAGAAACCGTTCCTTCTGCGTACAGCACACATTAAAACACTTCACTCATCTCTGGAATAGGAGACCGTAAATCGTTCTTACATTTTGGCCACTCAACTCATAATAATCCTCTTAAAGGCTACATTGATTTTGTCTTGGTTGTGAAATGATGAGTTTGAGGAGGTTACCTGAGAGTCCAGTGACTGGCAGGCCTCCACTCCTGCCAGGGTGCACTGGCGACGCTGCAGGTTCTCGATCATCACCTGGCCAAATCGATCACTCATGTTCACCTGGACACACAGGTCATGTTGAGTGGATGAGGCCTTTACGTTTATTACATCCATTACAACTTCTGTCTCTTCAAATATCTTAACATAAACTAAAAATCTACATACTTGGCGTCACTTGGATAACAGACGCCAACAGCTGTGTTCTTCTGCTGTGCCTGAATGGAGTTATTTGCCTTATTTACCTGTTCGTAGTTGATGAACATGGCGGTGTGGAAGGTCTCTGCAGCCCAGTGAACTACATTGGAGGACTGGGAGGGCGTCATGTAGACCAGAACACACTCTGACAGGAGCAGTGTAGGTAATCTGGGAGTGAGAGCAGTAATCACAACAACATAACCACAAAGCACTCATAAAGCATGTACTTTTGCCAAGGCCAAACAAGCCTCTATATCTGTCATTTTCACTATTTTCAGCTAAGCCCAGTGGGAAATAATGAAACTGTTTATAAATCTTTTAATAAGTGGATCAGGAGAAACATCAAAGCCGCTCACTTTGCACCAAATTTCACTGAAATTTGTAACGTTTTTGAAATCTTGCCATTTAAACAAACACAACCTCCTCTTATCCTTTGTCCTATATAATGTTGAAACTGCTCACTATATAAGATCCAACATATTCATGGAGGAATTTCACTTTCTCACTCTAACCTTTGGTGTGGTTAGGCAGAACACAGACAGGTAATGACCTTCACCCTTTAAGACTTGAATTCACACATTCACACCCGGCAGCTTCCTGACAAAGGGAGCCTCACTCTTAGTCAAACTTCCCTGAATAAATAAAGGTAACAGAGTGTGAGTAACGAGCTGGGGCCATAGAAAACATCCTATCATACAAGAGAGGATGTCTGTGCCACAAAGCTACCATAAAATTGCCATGTGGCATGGTCCGCTGCTACTGATAAAATGATACTCTGCCCCACCTCCACCCAGCTCCTGAAGATCAAAGGGAGGGTTGGAAATGTTTGTAGATTTGCTCATTCACAAAGAATTCAATTTATGTCAGTTACAGTAGATTGCAATGGTGACAAGTTTCGCAATGGAACACACATCCTGTGTAAGAGGGCACACAGGTATATGTTCTTCATTTTGTATGCCAGTCTTACAGCAACACACACGTTGTACTGGTGGTGTACGGCTTCACCTTCCCATTTCCACTCAAAAATTGATGAGAGGACAACTGGAACTATGTAAAAGTTATCCTCAGATGGTCTTAAATGTATGGTGTATTGCTGGTATAAAGTGGATGAACAGATATATCCAGAATGATGGCTTCGTATCTTTTTCCTCCTTTAGATGTTAATTTTTCGATCATCTCTCTGCGGTCATTTGAATATGATCTTGTATCTCCATTTTCTCAGACAAGTATGAGGTCATGACTTGATTCTCTTTTCTGGTCATTTCTAGAACAAACCACAAGTGGTTATCTAGTGTGCCCTGACGCTGCTTTATCTTGGTCAAAAACCTGGCTTGCTGTTCTCTCACTAAAGCTTGCACTGGAGGGAGTCCTGCCTCCAACAGGCAGGTTAGGTTAGGTGAAGCAGACCTCACCCCAAGTAGGGATTTTAAGGGCACTTTTAATCAAGCCTAACACCCATAAAAAATAGCTGAAGAGAAAGCAGCCTCGAAAATTTCAAGTCCATCGAGGGTTGAGTGTTTGACACTCCAAATATACATTCTGCGTAGGGTATCCTTTCAAATCAGGCTCTAGATAGACATTACATCTGCATTACAGCCATAAAGACACACACTAGAGTGACTGCTACCTAGCGATACTTGCCACGAAAAAAAAACACAGAGATAAGCTTCAATTTTTGATTTTCTAAAGACATGCTGGGAAAATTAATGACAACTGACAGAGAGCAGTGTGATGAACATATTCCACCAAATTCAAATATCGACCTCAGGTTAGTATAAGCTTTCTTCCATATCTATGTCGCTTGCTGAGCATGACTAGTCATGAGAGTCAGTCAAGATATGGAAAACATATCTTTACATACTCTGGATTCAGCTGGAACTTCTTCAGTTTTTCATCCAAGCTAGAGATGTCTCTGAGGTCCGCTCCAATAATACAGTAACGGTCTGAGTCAAGGCTGTGGGCATCTGAGAGAACAGGACACAAACACACACTGTGAGGAAGATGGAAAACACACTAAATAAATGCACAGAGAGATTTTCTGACAAGAGTAGTATTCATATCTAAACCACGTAGATATGTCATGTAATTTTTTTTTTGTTATTACCTAGTAGTAAGGAGTCTGTTGAGTGGGTTTCGATGAGGGGTTTGGACAGAGGCGGTTTTGTCCTAGTCAAAGAAAAACACAACACACAAAAATACAAGTCATGACAAAACTGCTTGTCAACAATAAACCTAAAGCTACACAACAATCAGGCATTTTACATGCTGCACTAGCTGTTTATAGTCCTCTGCTACAAAAACTTCCACTTCGTGGAGTTTTTGTGGAGTGCGCTGATGGGCGATAAAGGCTTGGCCTAAAGACGGCCAGATGCCAAGGCACACAGCTTTTAACGACTGGTCTTTGTTGCTGCTCCATTCTGTTTTGATTTCATGCTCATACGACCTTTTTATTTTAAGATCCTGGAATCTGGAATAAATCCATTTTGAGTTCAACTTTAATCACAGTTTTGGGGATTCCACATTTCCTCTTTTTTTTGCTGCTCAAAGCCAGACAGTATTAATCTACAAAAGTACTCTCCATCAGCCTCCACAAGAATGGACATGTATGTATGCACCGCAACTGATCCTTGAATTCGTTTGTACAACAGCTGTAAATGCAGCTCTGTCTCCCTCTACAGGTCTGGACTCCACATTGCAATACCAAAGCCAGACAAGGCAAACACTTATACTGCAATTATATGTCCAACCTAAAGCTGAAATTCAAATTAGATTTTCCTCGTTAATATGCATGTTTATGCAGTAACATATTGCATAACATATAACCATCATAAACACATCCTTTGATCTGTAAGGGAAGCTTGTGGCTGATATGTTTCATGTATGAATGTTATGATAAACATAATGATAGAATGGTTGTCTTACTTGATATTGTGTATTTTCCTGGCCACAACTGTTGGAAAGTCAACTTCAAAGAACTTCCGTGGCATGAGGTTTTCATCCTATAACACACACACACACACACACACACACACACACACACACACTAAAGATCTGTGCATTGAATAATACTTTGAAGATAGTTATATGTGTTTGATGCAGTTTAGTCAAATCTGACAGGCTCAAGAGTCCTGGCAGTGAGCTACAAACCTTAAGTCTCCAAAACGTAGTGTCCAGTCCAGCGCCCAGGTTGATTACTTGACAGTCGCACTCTGTTTTTCTTATAAATGCGTCAAGGAGATGGTTAACCCCTTGAACGCGGGCATAGTAACCTGTCAAATGAGATAAGGGGACAGTAAAATAAGCTAATAAACTACACACACTTGGGCTAAAACTATCACTATCACACATGAGATCATAAATATGCAGCCTTATCTTTGTAAACATTACAACTGGGTAAGTGGGAGAATTTACTGTTAACAACTCCTCACTAACCGTAAAGTTATGTGTTAATAGCTGTTTTTATAGACAGTCATCATCACTCTATACACTGCACACATTCTTTCAGCTATACAGTACGGCATTTATGAGGCGCTTACTGCAAACTATGTTAATTTTATGTATTGTGGATCCTGTGACTTGTTGCGCTTTCAATATTATAAGTTGTACCACATGACTCCCTTTTATCAAGCTTAAGAGTTACTTTTACATACAGAAAAATGTATGTAAAAGAAGATTGTGTATCACTTACCTCTATTGATTTCAGGTGCCTTCCGCTCCCCTACAGATCTTGCGAAATACTGGATATAGGGGTCCTTCCAGTAACCTTTACTGGTAGCAAACCTAGTTCAACAATTATAAATATGATGAGGAGGTGACATATCCCAATGAGCCACAACATTAAAATCACTGACGGGTGAGGTGAGCTTGTTACAATGTAACCTTGAGTCCTGCCTTTCATGTAGATGCCAATTGACGAAGACCAAGTACGCCCCTTCATGGCAATGACACTCCCCGATGGCAGTGGCCACCCCCTGCAGTACAATGCACCATGCCACACAGCAAAAACCACTTAGTAATGGCCTAAGGATTATAACAAAGACCTCAAGGCATCAACCTGGCCTCCAAATTCCCCAGATCCCAGTCTAACCAAGCATCCATGAGACGTGCCAGCACCCCACCTCCCAACCCAAAGGACTCAAAGGATCTGTTGCCAACGTCCTGGTGCCAGAAACAACAGGACACTCCAAGAGGTCCTGTGTTCATGCCTTGACAGGTCAGAGCCAAGTCCGATTCGATCTTGCTTCACTCTGATGTACCTGGACGTTCCATGGATGCTCAATCGGATTGCAATCTGGGGAATTTGGAGGCCACATCGATGCCTTGAGTTCTTTGTCACATTCCTTTGGCCATTTCTGAGCAGTTTTTGCTGTGCGACAGGGAGCGCTGTTGCCACAGGGGGGTGCACTTGTTCTGCAACAGTGTTTGGGTGGATGGTGCATATCAAGCTGCATCCACATGAATGCCATAACCTGAGGTTTGCCAGCAGAATTTTGCATTGTAACAAGATGATCAATGTTATTCACTTCACCTGTCAGTGGTGCACAAAGAATCAAGGCTCAGCTCTACAGATCTGTGCAGTTTTCTGCTCTAGTTTTGGTTTTGCTGGTCCATACTGTATAGTCTGATCCATACATGTAAAACAAACTGCCCCATAATAAACCATGGGCAGCTGCGTGTACACTATCTGCCCACTGTTAAAATGTAGACCTCCAAGGAGAACATGTAGCTACTGACTAGAGAGGACAACTAACAAACTAGGACAATATTTTTAGGACTACATTTACAGGGATACCCATGTTGCTCTGTGTAAGATTAGTTAAGACAGACTTTATTGTCTCAAAGGAAATTTGTCTTGGATACATGCGGTACCTGCTGTTAATTAGAGCTGTCACTATCCATAATCCCTTACACTCAGCACCTGCAGTACATGTACAGACTGCCATCAGCCAACAAACTGCACGCTGCCCATTGCACAACACAACTGTTTTACTTTGTCACCATAAAACATACTTACATGCACATACATAACTACACATACACACTGTATGGGTAAGCTACAGTTAGCTTCCTATTTAAGGCTTTAATTGACAAGGGGACAAGAGAGTTGTTAAAGCTGTTAAGCTTTCACTGGGGGACTCTAAAGTGTCTGCTCGAGGGGATAATCTTCTGGGCCTGTCTGATAATGGTTTCCTTAAAGATAGACTGGAGTGTGGCATGCTGCCTGACTCCCATGATTCTCATGGTTCTCTGCATAAGCCTGGTAATCTGGGCCTTCAGTTGTACAGAGGTTACCACACCAGGCTGAGATGCCTTACTGCAGGATGCTCTCAACTATGACATGGTGGAAAAGGAGCAACACCCTCTGGATGACTCCAAAGACCCTCTGCTTGCGAAGGAAGTGTCGGACCCTAGTGAACACCTTATCTACCTGAACACTTCATGTGAGTTTATGGTCAGTGTGTATGCCCAGGTATTTATATGATTCAACCTGGGCTATGTTTGGGTCATGGATAACCACTGGTGAATGGTCTCCAATAAGTATGATAGTATACTGATGTGTTAAAGTGACTTCTAATGATCCCAAAGTGCGACACTTTTGATGGTGTTTTCAATTTCAATAGTTTATAGCTAAATATCAAAACATCAGCAATTAGATTGGAGGAAATCTGGGGATTTGATTTATTAGGCATTACACCTGAGCTGTAAAGTCAAAGTGGAAGGTTATTTGTTTAATGCAGCATGACCTTTGATATGTAAATACTCCTTCACCTACATCTCTGACTGAAGCCACATTAACATGATGTAATTAAAGCCACTGTAATGTTTAATAATTAACTTTGCTGCTGTATACCATACTGTTACCTTTTGCATGTGGTTGCATCGTCACAGGTCGCCCTCACTGCTTCATCTGCAGTATCCGAGTCTGTGAAGGGTTGCCGAGCTGCCATTAACGATCCTTTTCTTTATGTTGCCACCATTAAAGCTGTAAGCGTCGCATAACCTCGTCCACCTGCTGTACAGTGGCTAGTTACTACAAGCTAACGGACTAGCTTGACTTTGACAGGTGGGGTTATTTAACGGAACGAGGAAAATTAAGAATAATACTGAGAGCGTAGTCGGGTTGCTCGGGTACTCGTATATGTTAAACAAAATACAAGTTGTATGAAAACGTGCAGCATTTAAGCAAGAAGCATTGTTTTGCTGGCTAATAACAAGTCGCAGATATAAATATATGAACACTTCCGGTCAGAGCGGAAACACTTCCGGTTAGTATTCTTCAGATTAAAAGCATCGCTGAAAAAGTTCTCATTTTGCATACGAAAAAAACACAAACATTAGACAGTTTCAGCAAATTATAATTTATAAACCTAATTCCAGTTATGTCTGCACTACGCATCGTCTTTTGGTAGATAGAAATAGGCTATTTTAGCCTTACACTGTTTGACTGTTTACCGGAAACTGTCAAATATTGTTGTCAAACCTGCCAAAGCACAGACAGATGGTTTGTTGAGTCTGTCACTTACAAATATGTTTAAGATAATTTGGGTTCCTGCATGGATTTTACACTTAGACCATTATTTTTAAGCAATTATTTACCCCCCTGGTTGTCCCTGGTAGTCTGTAATTAAATTCAGAATTGGGAAAATGGATGTAGAGTGAGTCTGCTGAATAGTGAGAAATCAGCTAAACCACTAAAAGATGCATCTGGATAGGAAACATTAAAAAGGTGCAGAATAGTGACAGGACATCCATCAAGTCCCATGTGAACTACGGAATTCAAAGCAACCCTGCCACATTTCCTCGCAAATTGTGTGGGGAAATCCTGCCATTACAAAGCCAACCTCACTGAGGTCGCCTTGTGCCACTCAGATAATCGAGAATTCCTTTGTGGCGTCTGTGGAGTGTGTCTGAATTCCTCAGAGAACCTGATGCAGCATGTAGAGGAAAGTCACATGAAAGAGACAGACACTTGTCCTACTTGTAGAGGAAACTTCATTTAAAATCCATTTGAGGATCCACACGGGGGAGAAACTGTACAGCTGCAAGCAAAAAACCATATAAATGTTACAAAGGGCTTCAGACATCAGACACACTATGGCTGTTCACAAAATGTTTGCCTCCAAAAATATCCACATTGCAATATTTAGATTCAGGTAATTGAGAAGCTGACAACCATCTGATATACAAAAGGATCTATAGCTTCGATTTTACTGAAGCATAATGCGTTTGGCTTCTGACAGAAGTCTTTTTAATGCTGTCAGTTACTTGAGTTGCATGCCATTAAGAGAGAGTATAGCCTTATTGACTCACAGTAAAAGGGATGTGGGCTCAGACTAATACTTGTTTCTCTTAAGATGTATGTTTTCCCATTACATTGTCTTTGAAATCATCTGATTTAAAGGAAGAAACTATTAACATCATTTCCAGTATTTTGTATTGCTATATCAAGAAAGGATATCATGATTTTTGGTCTCACTGAAAACATCGCTTTTGCAAGTTTCCAAAGTGTTAAACTATTATGTAATCTACACAATATAAACACACTGGAGATGGCAAAATATCTGTTTATCTTTAGCCTGGCATACCTTATGAATGTATGTAGAAGGATTAACAAATCAAAACAGCTAAATTCTTGGAGATGATCATTGTATAGTTTGTAGCTTGCACTGGGGCCTGTTAAATATATTGTAATATTAAATATGACTTTCCTGTCTTGTGGCCCATTATTACTGTATGCATTCTTTGAATAGGCCTACATAATAGGCCTACTGCTTTTTAAAATATGAATGCATGACATATTTTTAAGCATATTCAATTTTTTTTGTAGCAATAACCGAGTGTCTACAATCACTTAATGTTATGAGCTCATATTATTTTCAATTGACTTTATTTTTGCATGTGGATCTGTGACAGCTTTTCTATATAATGCTGACTGTGACACTGCTGCATCAATCATTACAAATGTGTGAAGAAATCTAACAGAAAGATATCATTATTCATTCAAAGTTGAGGGGCTATTTTCATATTTTAAAAAAAACAAAAGGATGTTCTGATTAGAATATATAGACATACACCTGAAGCTCATAGTACTGTACAGGTTGTATTCATAGCGTGCAAGCAATCATTGCCATGATATTAAGCAGTCGTTGCCCGATATCAACAGACCGGCAGATAATTTGCGGACCTCTATACTAGATATAATTTAACGTATGCTTGCACTTTAATTTAACATTTCAGTGTAAATGTAAAATATGTGCTACTCTGCTTATTATCTGACGATGGTAGGCACAGTGGCACCCAAATGAATCTTTCATAAGTGTGGCCAGATGAGGTCACTAAAAATCTTGTCGTGGCAAACTGAAAACAAAATCTAGAGCTGATTTCCAGGAATTTGATTATGCTGAGGTACATCAGCTAGTTGAAAATTATGTAAAGGAATTGCATCAAGTTTGGGGAGACTTGTGGGTGCCCGAAGAGCCCAATTTCATTCAGATATCTTGAGGTGAGAATTCAAGGGACTTCTGTGAAAATGGCCATGCCAGCTGTTTCCTAATCAGAAGAGTTATTTAGCCACCTTCCTATATACAAGCTATACCAATATGGTTGGTACCAATGGATGACTTAGGTTGTTGGGTTCACAAGATACCACTACCTGTGCTACCCTAACCTAGCTTAACAATACACCAAACGAAATTGCTTGCAATAGTAACTTCTGGGTAGAAACCCCACTATGTAACATACAAAAAAATGAAATGGCAGTGAGCACTATACACCACTATACCTTGCTTTCAGACAGCAGTTAATAGTAGTAATGGCTTCAGTTCCCAGTCAAAGCGCTTTCTGACGTTAAGGTAAAGCAGTGCAAATATTTGAATATAGCATAAACTCAAACTGATTTTGATATTTTTAAGTGGCCAGAATACGTTTCGCTTTGGCCCCCATCCACAGCAATACATTGCTTAGCCTCCATGCCAGTAGATTTGATTTATCAAAGAAGCTATAGCAAAGCAAAACAGTGCATTAAATAAGCGTGGCAGAAATGTCTGTTAGGTTGGACCTCTGTGTTTAATTTTATGCCTTTAAACATTAACAATTATGGCTGAAAATGACAACAGAAATAAACAAGTTTGACAATTTCATCTGTCTCTGCAGTTCAAATCAAATGCCAGTTGTCTACCTAGAAGTTGTTGTAAGCACGACGTCACAATGATTCAGTCCATTGAGCACATCAAAGCCTCTTAAAGATAGTGCTCCAGGGATGATGTTTTTCTGTAGGCTGATGTGTAAGTCAGCATCACACCAGTTCCCTCGTCAAAAAGCCAATGGGACTTTTACATTGGATTTTGAATGATTGCAGAAATGCGCTCTGTGGCAAACAAACATTTATGATACTTACACATTTTGTTCAGAATGATAATCTTCACATATGAACACCACTGTCATGATTAGTGAAGCTTACAAACTACACTATGGTCACATGACCTAATGTCGCTGCCATAACAAGACTGTAAAGCCATATTTGGAGCGGCTTAGCATGATGATGTTCAGTAGTCTCATTTGGCCACTTGGTAGCAACCACCTTTTTTAAGACACATAGCAACTTCAGAGTTCACGAGTGGGATATTTACGTATGACGTATTTTATGTTGGAGAAGAAAACATGAAAGTCTCTAAAGCTTGTGTTAACTACAGACCTTATTCAGTCATCTAACTGTAAGTCACACTCATTAATAGCCACTAACTCATCACTGTATCCCGTATGCTCAGGTTGGCTGACTCTCCTTACAATTTTGTAGACGTTTTCAAGCTAAAGCTATTCTTGGCCTACTTCCAGCATACTCACATGTGTACATGAAGCAAAAAATTGAAAATGGCTATGCTCTCGGTTCACAAAACATGTTTTTATTGTCTGCACTGAGGGTATGTACAGAGTTTGGCAAGTGAGCATTTATATATGCAGCTCCTTATATGTGGAATCTTAAGCAGACGGACTTACAGTTGCACTCACTGGTTCCTCTCGGCTGTTTCAAAGCACTGTTGCAGGATTTCTGTACACAATCTTCTATATGCCAATGTTTTGATGTGTCTTAGCTGGTTTTTGTAATCATGTGTAGTTGCTGTCTTTGCATTTTTAAGGTTAATTTCTAGTATATATTAATGTACGTTTTGGCTTTTCTTTGTTGTAATCTTATTTTGTGTTTTCTATTGCTTGTTTTTGAGCTTTTCATTCTGTATTTTTGTTTTGCGTTGTCTGTCTGGAGCTTATGTTGCTGCCTGTCTTGGCCAGGACACTGTTGAAAAAGAGATTTTTAAATTTAACAGTTTTTATGGTTAAATAAAGAAATAAAATAACCATAAAACTATTAAAAAACCCACTGAATTTAAGATGAAGGAACCAGGACTGGCAAAATGCTAACTCATTTCCAGGTTGTAGAACTCTTTCTGGGTGGACTCTATTATTTTTCGCCAGAGAGCCAGGGGCCCCCATATGTATTGGGGCACCATGCCCCCCCCCCCTTGGGAGCGCCACTGGGTGGGCACTTTAAAAGTCACTCTCTAGGCATTGTGTCCTGTAAGAGTACTGCAGAAACCAAGCAAAATTATGAATGCAGGATTCCCTATTTGAATTCAGTATATTTCATTTTATTTTATTTTTTTATAATGGCGCAGGATAGTTTCCATGAGTGCAGTGCTCCATATGTTGCTCCTGTCAGTGTCCAGGGGGAGGTGGTGCTGTGTGGCAGATGCACTAACGCTACTTCCTGCTGCTCTCCCTCTCCCTCTGTGTGCTGGCAGAGGCAGAGGTGAGCCGCCACCGCCGCCGCTGCTGCTCCTCACTCGGCTCCCTGCTCCGCTCTGCTCTGCCCCGCTCTGGGAGAAAGCGGCCGACGGATTATCCAGCTCGGTAACGTTAGCTCGCCAGCTAACGGGTCAACACAGCAGCCGAGAAGAGCCATGAAAAGCCGCTGGAGCCAGTGAAAGTTAGTCACGGCTTACTTTGGGGACTTTAATGTACGGGAACATACCAAAAAGGAGGTTCGCGGATCATGCCGTCGCCCCCAACGGGAACTTTCCTCTAGAATCTCCACTTGGGGAAGGCTAGCTTAGTGGCTAGCGAGGCTACAAACTATTTTTAATTGGCTTTGGGCTCAATGGCTCCTGCTTGTTTTGCACCGTCATAGCGACAGCTTGGAAAATTAAATCGGGGAGAGGCCCTGTGAACTTCATGACAAACCAAAGCCCGGCTTTGAAGCGTAACTTCGGAAGACGAGACTGGCAAGGGACCGAAAATGAAGAAACAGTTCAATCGGATGAAACAGCTCGCCAATCAAACTGTTGGCAGGCAAGTATGGAAGTCAGCGTTGTTTACTGGCGCACACACATTTATGTTGGTCTGTTTTCACCTTAACTCCAAAGCTTGTCGATTTAATTTAACTTTTAACCCTTCCCCATGCTTCTCTTTTAACTTGCTCTTTATCAGTTATGGCACAGGAATGCTGCAAAGAGAGAAAATCACATTAACTAACACACAGATCGAATCAGCTGGCTGTGCAGACAGACAATGAGGACAGTCTTTTATGAATGAATCAGACAACCAGGCTTAAGGACATAACACTGTTAATAAAAGCTGGATGTGGGACTGCTTCCCTTGATGTGTGCAAGCGTCCACACTGCTGTCTGAACCCAACCAGATGTCCTCCCCAGAAGACTGAATCAGCCATCTACGCAGTGTGTTAGCACTGTCTGCATGGGAAATAAACACCAGGAAGGAGACCAGTGATGGTGCATTTTGCCTTAGGTCATTCACTCTCCTTAGGATGACTCACTTTCTTACATCATGAGATTTAATTCTGCTGTCAAAAGCTGTGTGAAATAGCAGAAGTGTCTGTTTTGGAAACATACTGTAAGGCGTGAGGCCAAGAATAGGCATGCACCAATATATCAACAGATAACTGTACTAGGGTTGCACAATATATGTATAGTGGAAATATATATTTTGACAGATACTGTAATATGAGTAGAAATTTTAGTGTGAGTGATAGTTTTTGCATCACATTTTTTGCGAGGGTATGTACTAAACAATGAAGTTCCCTTATATCTGGAATATGATTTGTAGGCCAGGGCTTCTCTGTAGCACCACAATGCTTTATTTATAACGGTATGTTGTGACAAACTTTGCCTTTATCAAATTACTGCAGCTCCTGCGATTTGGATATTGCCCTTTTTCCAGTTTAAATAATATTTAAATTAATTTGCGCAAGAGCCTGCAGAGGAGGGTAAGGATTTCAGACTTTTCTGTTGTATAGAGATTGAGTTTGCCATGTTAAAAATGTGCAAACATGACAGTGACACAAGCTACATTTAGGAATAAAATGCTCGCAAAAATGCTACTTTCCTAACATGTCAAATATGTTATTGGCCTTACACTGATGACGTTTTCAAAGCAGATATCAGTTGATAACAGACACCGAATTCTAATAATATATTGATGCGTCCTTAGCCAGGGGCCTGATGTTTGCTGCTCAGTCCGTCTGGTCTTACTTGCCCCCTGTCCAGCTGAATTCAGACGTCAACTCAGGGTAAAGAGATCTAGCAGAGTCAGGGCTAATACGCTAAAGCAGGGGATGAGCTGTTATATACTCTGCACTATACGGCAAGGTTCACTTTCACTCTGTACTGTTAAAGTGTCAGTAAGAGCCTCTCCATTTGTGAAACACTAGACGCTCAACTCCAATCAGACATCAAACTTAAAGCATAAAATAGATTAATGTTTGTAAGTGATGGATAAGTGTCTGTGCGTCTCCACTCCAAGCAGTCTCTTGCTCTGAACTGTGAAAGGATCAGCACTCTGAAAAAGAGTTCAAATCCGAACAGTGATAAAGCCTTCTGTAGTGTTTATGCATGTTACCTATGGAGGTGCCACTATGCTGTTGTGTTATGACCCACAATGTCCCTCTGTAACTGGATATCTAAAGTAGCGATGGCTCCAGCCCAGCCTTGTGCGAACAGGAGGGTTAGACACACCACAGGATGTTTTCATCATGAGAGGTCGGCTCTCATGATGTGTGGCATTCTGTGTGCACGTGTACTTTGTGGTTGTCAGTGTTTGTGTACGGGAGCGAACAGTGTTTGGCACCTCAGGCGTACGGTGGGTGCACCCAATACTGGATTGTACCAGATGAAGCCACTGACAGGCTGAATAAATAATGTGTCATCACATAATAGGCAGAGGCAGTGTTGCCACATAGATTATGGCTTCCACATTTCAAATAGCGTGAAATATTTCCATATTAATATAGAATTTCAGTAGTCTTTTTAGGTAAAAAGAAAGTTTTAGCTTTCTTACATTTCATATTATCCTAAAGGGAATACATGATAGGAAACAAGGTGCTGCTAGAAAAACCTTCAGGGGAAAAAAGAGGCACAATATTTGCTTTGTAGAAAAATATAGCTCTATTTATTTATTCAAACAGGATGTTTTGGCTACTCCTATCAGAGGAACGAACATTTTGAAGAACTTACATAGGGCTCTGCTGCTTTGGGGCGCAGCTGGAATACTCATAATTTCCTCGCCACAGTGTACCAGCAGTAAATTAGAACTGGAGAGCGTGTAATGCAGAAAACAGACATTTGTATGTGTGTGCATGCAGAAGTGGCTCGCTCTTTTGCATGCATATGTCGGGGTAATTTGTCCTGCACTTGTATGTATGCCCTTCTGAATGAGTGAGCATACTCTGCTTTGTCCATTAAGTTTGCGCCTGCTTGTGTATCTGCAAAAGTTTGGAGTGCAAAGGCTCCTCTCCGCTGCCCCCTGGGTTCCTGTGATTGTGCAAAGTCAGAACAGTGTGTCCAGCGAGCAGCCGCTCTGAGGAAGTCTCTCCTTCTTCTTCTACAAACAGGAAACTGCCTCCCAGAGACGTACTAGGGCTTTCTAGAGAAGAGGGAGATTGATGTGAGTCAGAGAGTGAAACTGAGGTGCAGAGGAAAACAGCTTGTGATTCATGCCAGGGAACATGGCGAGGCTTTTTTAGTCCTTTGGAAGCTTTTTCAGTTTGCTATCTTTGAACTCTCTAGTTCTATACAGTTAGTATAGGAGATAACATATGAGTGGGGTATCATGGGCTATAACTACTATCTGCATTAAGATAAACAGTCGTGCTCCACAGACCCAGAATGAGCTCAGTATTCTGCACTGTACATGTGATGTTTGAGAGTTTGCATTTTCTGTTTTGCTTGTGATAATGACACCCTTGATTGTGAGGAAAACAGACCCAGATAAGTTTTTCAGTGGCTGAGGAAGAAGTTGGATAAGCAATCATTGATGATTGGACCACATGATATGGTCCGATCAAGGAGTGTGTACAGAGGCTGCTTATAAGGGGTGGTTCAAAGGTAACGGGTACAGTTTAATAAGGAGGCCTTAAAGCTGTCATACCCAAGACATACTGTGCAAAGGTCAACCAGCAAAACACGTCTCAGATTCTTTTGGGGGGCCTGAGCTGTTTGTTGTCCATCAAGTATATTGATTATCTCAGTCTACTCAAGTGATTTTAGATAATGGCAGTTAGTACAACTCACTCTGCTGGTTGGTTGAAAACAGGGATGGGAATTATTGTCCGATCCGTTGGACTCGCCTCCAAGCCTATTGATTCCTTCCATCGATCCTGGCATGTTTTTCTGACAGTTGTGCATCTCAAAACAATGAGCTCAAGCATCACACAGCAACACTGCTGGAAACTTAAAATAGGAAGGAGTCAAGGCAGAGAGGAAGAAACTCTTCATGGCTTCATTTTACAAAGAAAGTCAGTCATTTCAAGTACGTGGAAACACCAGCAATATGCTGAAACATCTCTCTAGGCTCAACATAGGCTCAAATTCCAGGAATGCCCTGTATTTGACACTCTACACCGGAGTGCCACTGCTTCTCAACAGAGCAGCACATCCGTTACAGGAGGTAAATATCCTGTTGTAGGCGTAGTGTCCACCGAGGTGGACAAATATTCTCTCTTTTCATCTATTTTTGATGATGACAGACAGACTGTTGCTACAGCTAGTTGACCTTTTACACTATGTTCAGACTTAGAGATAATAAAACAACTTAACTGATGCCGAGAACTGGTGTAGGCCTACTTATTTCCCCACCTTGCCCTAAGTAAGGAGTTCTTGCTGACACCAGTAGAAATAATAGCATTTTTATTAAAAAAGTATTAAGGCCAAAACACACCAGCGGCGTACGACGCGCGTCAAAACAGCCTCCCCCATTATTTTCTATTTACAAACCCACACCGGCAGCGGCTTGACACGCGTCGACGTGCCGCGCCACGGCACTTTACGCTATTGTCCTATTTTTCCAGCGTCACCGCCCTTGAAAAAATGCTATTTTGGACTTCCTAGCCTAGCGGACTGGAGTGTGCAATAGAAATCCGGTGGACGCCCCGCAGCGCGATGCTTTTTGTGTGTGTTGGGGGTGGCACTTGACTCGCGTCAATGACGCTGCCGTCATATGATGCCGTCGGTGTGTTTTGGCCTTTAGGCTTATTAAAGCAATAGTTTGATATTTAACAAATATGCTGATTCAATTTTTGGTGGAGAGTTGGATAAGCAGATTGATACCACTTTCATATCAGTCAGTCAGCTATGAAGCTATACCCTACAGCTGGTTAGCGTAGCTGGTGCGTTCCATTCCACTGGGAAGTCAGATTTTCCAAGTTCCTGGTCTAATTTCAACTGAAGCAACCCCTGAAGTTGGATTTCTGTCTCTGAAAGTCGTAGGAAGCTCACCAACCCTGACCTCAAAATCCAATATGGCCGCTCTGTGTATCAAAAGTAGCGAAAGCTGTACTAATACACTTTGTATTAACACATCTGTCTCATTTGTGTCTCAATAAATCAGTGGTACACACAGTGCTGTCCAACATCTGTGTGTGGCCATGTTGCTGTGGTGTTTGTATGCCACAAAGTATAGCATAATGCGTTGTTATCAACTGGTATTGCCAACAAAATCTTAGTTTTTCCAAGTGTGATGTCATTCCCATCTCCAACCTCAGATTTCAAACGCAAACAGAATGTAGTATCAAGACTAGAAATGGGGAAAACAGCTAGCCTGGCTCTGAACAAAAGTAGCAAAAACCACCTACCACCAACCCTAAGGCGGGGTGCAGACCGACAGTAGCCGTGTGTGCAAAATATGCAGTCTGATCAGTCTTTAAGTGCCAAAAATCTGTTACTCAAACTGGACTTCCTGGATTGTTGTTCATTGTCTAACTGGTACAGCAGGCCCCCAACACTGTTATAACACAGGGCTGTTTTCAATCTGGGAAAGCTTCCTAACTAACATGCTAC